AAATTGTTACTAAAATGGTGTTAACTTCACTTTTAGTTTTTAGGTTCGATCAGTCCTCCCCTTCCACTTCTTCGATCTTTGCTTTAATCTCATTCCCAGTGCTCCTTGTTTCAACTCCTGATCTCAACTACATCTATCTCGTTCTTGGTCTTTTTTCTTCCTCCAGAAAATCACCCTCAATCCTAAATTCCTTAACCTCTAGATCCTCTCTTGGTTCTCTCTCTGTCTTCAGTTTTTTTCTCTCTCGATCATCTCAGAAAACCAAAAACCCCTAAAAATCCCTCCATCTCTGATCCCAGTCTCCTCTATTCTTCTTTTTGTTGTTTTTGTCATTGGTCTCCCTTTGACTCTTGGTTTCTCCTCTTTCTCCAAATCGCTCAATCTCTCTCAACTCTCAGTTCTTCCCCGCTCCTTTAAGCTCTTAGACTGTCTCCCTCTTTTTAGCTCTCTCGGTCTAATCTTTTCACCTGCCATCTATTGCACTGCATTCTCAATTTTGAATTTCTATTGGTTTTTTTTTACATTAAAAAAATTAATAAAACTATCAAAAATGTATTATTGTGAGTAGTTTGATTTATTGTAGATTTGTTAATGCCACAGTGAAGTCGTTAATTATTATATGTGTTCTTTTTTCCATAGGAACATATGTGTTCTTTTATTATAAACAATCATGTTAGAGGTATTATTAAATATGAAATTTAGCTATTTCGTTTAATTAGGATTCAAATCTTTATTCATTATGAGACATTAGTCTCTTTTTATTCAACTCAATTCCTATTGATAATTCACTTATATTTTACACTGAAGAAAAGCAGGTCTCAAGATCTTCTAGGTGCAAATGAGCTATGTACATCAATCAAGGGCAAAAAAGTATGTTGAAATATCTAAATTCTTTATGATTAGTCTTGTAAGTGTACAAGATTGACATAGTAATAAAATTCTTGAGTATTCCAATAACTGTATCTAGAGGAAAGCAATGATCTTTTGTTGTTTTCCCAGAACAATTAGTGATTATAAAAGATATTTGCTTTTTTCACCTAATAAAAGAGATTTGTTTAAATTTGATTAATTAAAATTGAAATAAACAAACACAATGAATAAACAGTGATCCAATCAATCAACAAATGTCAGCGGTTGAGTTTCACCTACCGAGACTCATACTTTTACCCAATTGAGATTTCTGAGCAATTATAGTGACGATCATTGCTAAACTATCTTCCTTATCTCTCAATAAATTAAGGTGTGTCTCATCAAAGTCAAATTAGCTCTCACTATATTCTGAAACCTCTAACAAAACCCATTAAGCTACAATCAAAGCTGTCGTAAATACTTAGATTATGCCTAACCTAGTTATTTATGTCTACTCTCTTAAGTCTAAATCTACTTTTCTCCTCTCTGTGTATCAAGTGGATTTACAAACAGAAAGCAAGGTGGCTAGCTAAACAATCCACAATGAAAGCAAAGAGAATAGATCAAATTGCATAAAACTGCAAATAAGTCTTTCAAAAACAATAGGAATCAAAAGCCAAGCGAGAAAAGAGTAAGTTCATCCCGGTCAGGCTACACCATATCTTGACACATGATATACACATGTATAATCATCATAAAACAAATAAACCTCAGGTTAAAGAACAACATCAGATATAAAGTAAAAAAAGGAATAGAAAAGCAACCTCCAGATCAAAACAATAGTGCTTTTGCTCCGTCTTCATATGTCTCTTGCTCCAACGCGTGATTTGTAAGGTCTCCATTACTTAATCATGTTTCTTGCCAAAATTAAGGTAATAAAGAGATTAACCCTCAAAAGATTACCAAAGTTATAAAGTTTTATAAAAAAAAATTTCTCAAGTCATTTACAATGGAATCCGAAATTCAACATTTTAAATCTCAATTAATACTTATAATGTTTAAATCAGTTTTGCAAACAGTATGGAAGTTTAAAAATCAAATGGGACCTAAAACCATGAGTTTTAAAAATCAAAAATGGATTTTGTGTAAAAAACAACACGTGTGCCATGGCTCATCTTTCTTTGTGTCGTACGTCGCAATGGATTACAAGAATTTAACAACATTAGTGCTGTCATTTGATAGCACATAGAGCAAATTTTTGACGCGTTCTAAATCTCCATTTGATATCCGATTGAGATGATTTCGGTGTTTACATGAAGCTTTCTCCTAGCCCTAACTCATGGCACCAGTTTCATATTCAAATTCTTTTTTTTTTAATAAAAAGTTTGAGACCCATATTTATCACTTTTCACACAAAACCCACAACTTTAGTGTCCCAACTCAATCACAAGTGCCAAAAGCCTATACCAACTACCCGACCACACTCAATAGATTCTAGTGGACCTGTGTAATGCACCACACATAATCAAAAACACATATATTTTAAAATCATCACTCAACCTTGAATTTCACAAAAACACAAGGGGGAGGAAACTCATACACAAAATCATCATTTTAATTTCAACTCTTTCAAGATATACATGTTCCTACTTGTATAAGTATTTTGGCCTTACCCATGGGTTTACAACCAAAACTCATTAACTCATGGCACAAAATACACAAGTTGCATATGATAGTAATGCAAGTAGTACAAAAACAATGACATGTGATCCTAGTTGACAATTATACAACATTAATACCCAAGTAAAGTTAAGAGGCATGAAAGTAGAATTTCATTACATGCCACCCTTATTAGTCAATCCCCTCATTTAAAATTTCCTCTCCCCTCCCTTTTCCTCAAACTAAACAAACTTTTAGTCAATCTCATTACACGCCACCTTTATTATTATACCCTTTCAACTCATCTACTCCTACTCAATTGAATCATATTCCGTGTTGTTGTTGCATGTCCCCCTCTTTTGAGATTTAAGTGTTTGATTTATTTGTGCTATGAGCGTATTGAAATCAAAACAAGGTTATTTAACGAAAGAAATTAACCGCTAAGGGGGTGGCATTTGCTTCATTTGATGATCCACCATGTTTAAAAATAAAAATGTTATATCCAGTCGAAAATGGTGCAAGATCATCAAATAAAGACATAAATGATTTAAATTGAGTAGGAGTGGGTGAGTTGAAATTATAAAGAAATTGAAGTAGGATGTGAATTTAGATTTGAATTAAATTCAAATTCATACATTTTAAATTCTCTAAAGAATGAATTTTGTTCAAATCCAAATTTAAATTTAAATCACATATGTCCAAACATAGCATTAATTTATTCTTGATGTGAATGTGTGAAGCATCTGTATCTCTAGATTTTCTCAGCCTGCATCACATTTAGAATAGATATATGGTGCAGGTTGCATATGATAATCAAATAAGCTTTGTTTTGAAAATTAAGAATTTACATGTATAAAAAAAAGAAAATTAAGAATTTACACACACATACACACAAATTTGTAAATAGAGTTACAGAATATTGATACATGCGTTGTATATATATGACAGGGAAAATTACATTGGTTTCATATAAAAAAATTTATTATCAAGAAGTCTCATAAAATTTATAAAATACTCATAAATTTCAAATCCTGTACATTTATAATTTAACTAAAACATTGATAATCGGACAACGGTCATTTACAACTTACAATTACAAGTTGTCATTTTTCTTTACAAGTTGTAAATGACCATTGTCCAATTGTTAATGTCCTTAATTAAGTTATAAGTGCATAAGATTTGAGAATATTTTATAAATTTTATGGACCTTTTGATAATAAGTTTTTTTATATGAAACCTAAATGTAATTTTTCCAATATGATAGCTAACTCTGCCTTGGTTTTTCCGTGACGAATACTAGCTAGCCATACTTGATTTTTATTTCTTAAAACAAATATGAGATCCGACGCTGTCTACCTGGCCATTTCTACCAGTTATTGAATTAAAATACTATCTAATAATTACTGTTTATCCCCGAAATAAGAGTAATTGGCCTCCTCCTTTTTTTTTTTCCAAGTTCGCTTCTTGAAAAAAAAAAATGCGCACTACTGCACACAGGCTTATCTTTTTATAAGATACAGATAAAATAAAATAAGGCATAATTCTGTGAAGAAAATAGAAATAAAATGCTGGCTCTCCCGAAAAAAGACAGGTATCAAAATTATGTATATATTTGATTTGAAGTGTTTGTGAATGACACGCCATTCATCACCATGCAACTATGGGTTGGTGGCCTAATAAAGAGGCAGGGAGACTAAGATGACGCATTCTATTGCTAATCATTCACTAACTAATCTACCAAATCAAAGTCTCCTTTTCAATTATATTCTTCCATTTGCTGTATATTCCCACTCTTTCCACTAGTTGGGTTCCTCTCCTTCGTCTTTATTTCCCTCTTCACATTGTCATAAAATAACCTTTTATATGGCTTATATTAAGGATTGACAAAATCCTTCTAGAACTTGTCCTGGGACCAGAAGGAGTATTCATCTAATCCTATTTGAATCACTTCTAACATGTTTTCATAGAATTAATGAAAATATTAAAATTTAAATCTCATTAATTTTATTTAAAAATTTAATAAGTTTTCAACTTTAATTACTCTTGTTAAGTACATATCCTTTTTGATAACATATTTTCTCTTATTACTATTTAATAAAGCAAAAAAAAATTAATCACACGACTTATAAATGAAGCAAAAAAAAAAAAATCTCTCCCTTCATCTTATAAATATCAATAAGACCGGAGGGAATACTCAACAGGCTTAACCAACTTCTTGATTCTCAATCCTTAAAGAATAATATTTGATATATAAAAAATATTTAACTTTTTTTTAAATTTTTAAATTTATTAAAATTAATGACCACAATAAAGTGTATTTGGGAATCCCAACTTGGTGTACTTAAGAATGGGGAACATGGAAAAAAAAAAAAATCAACTAGTACACTTTTAATTACCTTATGTTTAGGACCAAATTTAATAAGATTAATTTTAAAAGTTTGCCTCAGTAATCAGTATAAGAGGGATTGCTATTTATTTTTCCAAAACGAAGGTTAATCATAAGACGGCAACCAACAAATTATATATTTATACATTCACTGCTATATATAGGCAACCACAAATTTAAGATCAACAAGTTCAATTTCTAATTCCTAGTAATATGCATGCATTTCCAACCCTTTACATAACCTTTTATAATATATATATATATATATATATATAGATATGTGATGCAGTCGCAGGCAATTTATGTACGCCAATCATTTTTCTTTTTTAACGATGCTCCAAAACGCCGTTGAGTTCTCTAAGTGGAGTAATCCAAGAGGCAACCAATGTTCAGGGCCCCAGCAGCAGAAGCTGATGACGAGTATTGTTGATTCTGAAACGATCTCTGGACCATCCCATTTCCATTGCCGTTGTATCTCACAGATGATATATCTCCACCCAAGTCTCTCCATCCATTGTTTTCCACCGCCGTCGTCATCCTCATCATCACCTGCTGATCTTCTCCCAGAAAGCTGTTTGGGAACAGCGACGAATTCGAATTCCCTACTAGGGGCGCCATTAATGGCGCGGACTGGTCTGAAGAACAGGACGAAGAGCCCAAGAATATTAATGGCGTCTCCAGGCTATCCACTATGTCGTCGGAGAAGCAGGTCACGTGAGATGATTCCCCAAACTCTGTTCGATTCGGCGAGGCGTCCATTAACGGAGGCAATTCAGAAGGAGCGGCAGCGCCTCCAATCTCCATCATCATCACCTTCTTCATCAGCCCATCAGTCTTCTGAAATACTCTGCACAGAACCCACTCATTCTGAAAGGAAACAGAGCATCAACTCAGGGTGGTGTGGGGGGGGGGGGAAGAAAGATGTATAGAATCACATGAATATATAATAGAATCGGAGTTGAGAACAGAGGAGAGAGTTGACCTTGGCGGGGAGGACATTGGAGCGGTGGAGTCTATATTCATGCATGACCCAGGAGGTTTTTTCACCTTTGGGGGCTCTGCCTCGGTAGAAAACCAGAGTTTTCTTCATCCCAAGAAGAGCCTTAGCTTTGAAGATCTGCTTGTCTTTGCCGGTGGCCTTCCAGTAGCCGGCGGGGGTGGCCCTGTTTGTTCTAGAACCAGTGGGGTATTTGCGGTCGCGGAGGAAGAAAAAGTAGGAGTGTTTGTGAGGCATGTTGAGGGTGGAGGGAAGATCCCAAGGGTCGGAGGAGTTGAAATCGGCGTGGGCGATGGGGGCAGCGGAGAAGGAGGGGTCGAGAGCCTTGGGAGAGAGGTAGTGGAGGATGAGCTCTTCATCGGTGGGGTGGAATCTGAATCCGGGAGGCAATTCAATGGAGTCAGAAGGAGGAGGGATTTCCATTTCTTGGAATGAGAGGGATGAATTAATTGCAGGAAGTGAGCGAAGGATATGAATGAATAGAGAGAGAGAGAGAGAGAGAGAGAGAGCGGGAAAAGAGGAGGAGGCTTGGGGGAGTTAAAGTGGGAAGGGAAGAGAACAGAGATAAGCATGAGGTGGAGAGAGAGAGAGAGAGAGAGAGAGTGGTTAAATAGAGTGATTGAAGAGGAAGATACAAGGAAAAGGTGGTGGGGGTGGCTTGGGGCATATTTGAGCTGATCATCTCTGGTCTCTGTGCCTCTGTCTCTTCACTTTTTCATGTCATCACTACTCTCATATCATAATTTGCTGTTGCTTCTCTCCTCTCTTCACCACTCACACCCCACCTCACCTCTTCCGCTTTTCTCCTCCCTTTCTCTCCGCTTTTATTATCTTTCCAATTGATTTAATTTTTAACATTTAATTCATTTTTGTTATCAATTCACTTTTTATTATTTGAAGAGCAGGTCATCTCAATAAAATCTGTACTATTGAAATGAATAACGTATTATTAAGTTGGCAACCATGTGAATTACTTTCAAAAATATAATTATATTGACAAAAAAACTCAAATTTTTTTTAAAAAATAAAAGAACTAAGCAAAATTTTAAGAGACTAAATTAATAAAATTTAAATTAATTTAAGAATTAATTCATTTTTATTAAATCACATATATATCACATCATCAATCTACTTTATATATATATATAATGAACTTGAGAGCCAATTTCTGTTTCAAAACTTAAAGAATTAGTGCAATAACTTTTAAAAAAATAAGAAAAATAAATTAATAAAAATTAAATTTAATATGGAAAAATCAATAACAGAGATAAATTTAAAAAACTAAATTTTTTATTATCCTAACCATAAAATAATAACTTCATTGACAATATAATTTTTTGTATGAAATTATTAATTTAAGAAGCTTTATCATTGAATTTTTTAGATAAGATATTTTTATGGATCAGGTGGTCTTACGTGTTTGCTAGAATCATGTTACGAGAAGCCTCACTATTCAAATAGTCAAAATTTATAGTTGAAATGTAACTTTGAAGATTGGATATACTTATTTTTTATGTGAATTAAAGTTTAGGTTTTACTTAGCAATTCAATCTTTACAGAAACGAACTTTTATTATTAATTTGGAATTTCGGATTCCATATTAATTTTAAAAATTATTTTCAAGAAAAAAAATCTTAAGCTCACCGAATTATTTATATAGGAAAAAAAACGCTTTCACAGTCACGCACGAGAGACTTGATCAGCAAGAAGCAAAAAACCATGTGACCCAAAGAAGAAGAAAAAAAACGCGGATACAGTTTGTTATTCCTATGATTAGACAGGGTTGGTATTATATTTATATCATTATAATTAACAACAAAGTTAAAAATTGAAACCAGCTGTGTTGTCATTTCTTTCCTTTTAAAAAAACAAAAACTAAAAAAGGGATTTGGTGATGATATTTGTTTAGGGCCAGATTTTTCCCGTTAGGCACACAATGTTTTCAAGTGACAGTGCTCTGGGGGATAGGGACCAAGCTCCGCCATTTATGTCTCTTTTGAATTTTGTCAAGTCCACGTGTTCCCAATGCCTTCGAGTCCTTGATGATGATGCGCTTTTACTTCAATCATTGGGCAGCTCGACCATGTCTGTCAAATCATTTCAGTAATTACATCTAAGAAGGATTTCACCTATGAGATATAACGTCATTTTGATGATATTTTTTAAATAATATCCTTTCCTCTCAAATTATAAAATAATTTAATATCATGTTATACATATCAATAAAATATAATAATAATATTTTATAAATTTATGTTTTTCAAAACAAAACTAAAAATTTAAAAACTGTCCCTCACACACTGAATCATTATATTATATCATTTTAATTATCTCTTTATTTAAAAAATAATATTAAAAATATATTATTAATAAAATTTTATTTTTTTCAAGTTCTTTCACACTCTGACATAATAAAATTTTTTTAAAATTATCTTATAATTTAAAATAAAAAAATGTTTTTATTGTTTGACAAGCAATTAATAATAGTTTTAAAAGGTCTGCATTCAATTCCATGATTCTCACTCAGTTTGCTAAAGAGAGAAGCAGTCATGCACATTGATTAGCTTTTGGACGGCCATGTGTCCTCTTGATCTCTTACGCCGGGCTAGGCCCGTATAAAAAAAAAAAAAAATAGTGAAGAGCAAAGGTAGAGAGAAGAGAAAATTGGATGGATATAATCTTTTCTTCCTACACTTGATTGAGTGAAAGAAAATGAGAGAAAAAAAAAATTATAATTTCATCTAGACAATAATAACCTCATTATTTATAGGAAAATATTTACATATAATAAAATTTAATATTTTAATGTATTATGTATATAATTTTCGTTATATATTATTGATCTAATAAAGATATAATTGTAAATTATTTTATCTGATGCTGCCAAAAAAAATTATTTTGTTCAATTTTAAATTTTATTTTTTAAATTATTAAATATATAATAACTTAAATTTTAAAATAAAAGAAAAATTAAGATGAAAACGAAAAAGATTCATGAGTATAAGTTTGAAAACTGAGTTACCTCTTTAAAATTTCTCCACATTTAGAGAGAAAAGTTGAAAGTAAAAACATATAAGTCTTGCATAGTATTTTTCCTTCTAATTTCTTCTCCCTTTCATTTTTCTCTCATTAGCCAAGAAGAAAAAAAATATCATTTTCTCTCCACTTTTTTCTCACACTTTTTTCTATTTCCCCAGCTTTTCTCTCCCAAGCACAGCATTAATCCCTCTCCCGGAATTATTCCTTGTAGACTTCAATTTGTCAATTCACAACTGAAACTAGCCTCTTTGATAAAATAATTTTAAAGAATATTCTAATTAGTTTAACTAGAGTGTTTTTTTTCCCGTTAAAAAAAGACCGGTTTGTTTTCACAAGTTGCAGGTCAAATGATTCAATCCGCTTCTAAGTTGAAGCTTTTCTAACCCAATAGAAGGTGGGCTGGTTGGCCGGCCTGCTATAAGATCGGTCGGTCGAGGGGCCACTTTTCTTTTTTAATTATTTAACTAAAAAATAAATATTAAATATTGATTTGATGTATTTAAAAGATGAGAACATTACATGAAATGAGTATATGGTGATAATTCAAAACATATTTTTATTAATCAAGATGGTCTATTATTTATATTAATTTTCAATATATACATATATAGTATAAAAGTTCTAACAAATTATATTATTTCTGAGTTATGATGACTTATATATAGGAAAATATGAATGAGTAAAAACGTTGGATGGGCACACGTGCGTGTCGAGTAGATTCATTAGTTGTGTGTCGTGAGGCTGAGAGATGAGAACCGCGAGCAAACGATGTTTTTGTTGTTGTTGTTTCTTCCAAAGATACTTGAAATTTGCATATGAAAAATGTGTTTGTGTTTGAAGATGCTAAAAGTCGAGCTGCTTATTATCAAATCAATCAAATAAATGGTTTTGACGATTAATGACAAAATTATAGTCCAATTCTATTAGGTCACACTGATCATAAACAAAGCAATTTGTTGAACATATGAAAGCACCTAGTTCCAATGACAGACCCGAAAAATTTATCAAGGAGGGCAATATTTAAACTAAATATAAGTATTGATATTTTTGAAGAAAATATAATTCTAAATATTAATTAAACTAATATATAAATAAATTATATGAAAAGTTTAAAAATATATATTAGTTTCATTTGTATCATAAATTTGTTTTCATAATAAATACAAGAGTAAACAATGTTTTAAAATATGAATACTTGATAATTTAAAGATAGTATGGGGTAATTAATTTTTTTAAGGGGATAGTAATTTTAAAAGGAAGCAAGTGTAATGTTAACTAAAAATCAAATGCAATTTTTTCTTTTTTCGACGGGCTTGCCTCATCTATGCTCAATGTGAATACATCTCTGTCTAATTCAATGAGTTAACTACTCAATTGGTTGGGTTAACTTAGTTTTCAATATCTCGGTGGTGTGGTTGCAACAATATCTGATCCTCACATTGTTTATCTCAACATGGAATTAGTATACATGAAATGGCATAGCGGCTCAATTATTGGAAGCTCAAGTCTCTTGTACTGTTGCCCAAAGCTAAATGCCTAGTAACTTGCATTTATCATCCAAGATTCCCGCCACTTCCCCACCCACAAACTCTGATATTCAAGCACGTACCACATCAATCCTCTGACGTCGATTCTTCAATATTAATTATGAATATGATCGATTCCCCGCTTTTGTAAATTATTAATTATTCAATTTGGTTTACCCATTACTAAAACATGCGACTCAGTGAGAAAATTTAGTAAGGGATGTTTTATTCCTCTATGAAAGATCAAGTTAGTGAGGAATTTAATTTAGTGAGAAACTCTATTGAGGAAGAAAAATTAAACTCTAGTACTGTTACGCGAACGAAGATACACACACATGTTACAATAAACATTGATTGTCATCAATATGAGCAGTTGAGCACAATAGAAAAGGAATGAGGCAAGACTAGGGGTATTCAATCTGGACCTGTCCTGATTGGCCCGATATCATCCCGATCATATCGGGACGGGTCTTCTTCCGACTCGAAATAATCGGGATGAGACTTTACGGAACGGGACACGGGATTACTATCAAGACGTCCCGTCCCGTCCCGTCCCGAATATTATATATATTATTTTTTATTTTAAATATATTAATTATATTAATATAATTTATACTTATATTAATTATATCAATTATAATTTTAATACTTACAATTCTTATTTAAAACTAAAGTGTTTTTATATTGATAATTTTAATAGCATGGAGTAAACATGGCGATATCTTTTTTATAATATATTAATTATATTAATATAATTTATTCTTATATCTATCTATTTAATAACTTTTATTTATAACATATTTCTTACTTATTTTTAGAAGAGTAATTAGCTTAGTACATCTTCACTAAAGTAGAAGAACAATTATTTGATGTTGTATTTGACTTGCCTGTTATTGCTAATCTTATAGCATAAATATCACTTGTATTTTTTATTATAATATGTCGTGGTGATTAATATAATTCAATAATTGATTTTAAATTATTGTTATTTATGTACTTGTGTTATTTTAATTTTAAACTTAATAAATTATATAATTTAAAATTTAATGAACATTATTATCCAGATCTTTTTTCGATATTATTTCATTTATCGGGACGGCGGGACGTCCCGATCTTGTCCCGGTCCCGTCCCTACTCTTAACGGGACAGGATGACTTTCGGGACGGAACGGGACACAGGACTAAAATTCAGTCCCGATCTTTTTTTCGGGACTCCTGGTCCCGTCCCGTCCCGCGAACACCCCTAGACAAGACAAAGATATACAACTAGCATGGTATGCAGAGTAACTTTCGCCTGATAAATGCTTCCTGGACTTCACCAAGGATCCCATCTAAATTAACGCAAGCTTTAAGAAACCTGGCCTCCCAAAGGGTTTCAATTTTATGAGCAATGTTAATAAATATGAATGAACAAAACAGAGTTTGCTGAATATTTGTCATGTCTCCATGTGGATTGGCATGTAGATCAATCAAACTTCATTCACTCGAGCACAGGTAACCTCTTGTGATATTAACCTGCAGACATATATAGAGTAATTCCAAAACTGATTTAGTCAAAACATCTCTCAACAAATTCATCACTTGACTCAACTATTGAACTAATATAACGCGATGCAATAATTGATATATATATATATATATATATAGGAGCTAAACCATTAAGAGTAATGGAACAAATACATTCCTTCCCTCTGCTGAGCTATTAAGTTAAAATGGCACTAGATTTCTGACTTTTCGTAAGTGAACACACACACAAAGATCCCTGCAAGCAAAAACCTAGTGTAGATATCTGCTTCATACCGTCCAACAGCTTTCAGGATAATCTGCAGACTTGGGATGTAACCTGTTCTTCGACTTGGATATATCGAACTTGTTCAAATGAGAATTCTTGTCGACGGTTTTGAAATTTGGAAATAGTTCTGCTGCATCTGAATGCAAGTCAGAGAAAATTTTAATGAAAATATAGTAGGATTGTGAAAATACATCTGGTAATGCTTGATGCTAAATTTTATGTTGTTATTAAAAGTGCAGGATCGGATGTATTTTTATAAACAGTGTTGGCCATCCGGGAAGACATTAAAATATTTAATCAATATTGGAGTTTAAGTTCATGTTTGGTTATTAGAAAAGAATAAAATGAAATATATTAAAAAATTGAAATAAAAATGAACTAAATCACCTTTTCCTTCATAATAAGTATGATAAAACTTATTAATATATACTATAAATATGAAAATCATTACATCTTTTAAAAATTTCATGAACCATGTTTCCCAACCTCATAAATTAAATTACCCTTCTTCCTTATTAATGTGCCCACATATCTCCTTTGATCATTTTATTTTTACCTTTATTTTTTTAATTCATTACATTCCATTCCATTCCTTTTTAATACGCAAATGAGACCTTAGATTAATATATTAACAGCCGAGACAGCAACTTTGGGTTCATGCCAAAGTTTTCTGATTTTCTGATTTTGGGTTGAGCGGAAGCGGAACTATAACAGCAAGTCAACAATCTTGATTCCATTTTAACATGGTATCCTTTGATAATAGAATTTGAAAGAAGTATCAAGGAAAAATGGAGATATAACAACTCAGATATAGCAAGTTATATTTAAAAACAAAAAAACAAACGAAAAAGAAATTGCAGGAGCAAATCAATTAGATAGAAACCAATTACGCCAATTGCTTGGCGATATTGAGGGTAATTTTTCACTCCATGATTGTGGGCCTTCTATTAGTCTTAGCATTCAAATTCTTTAAGCAGAAAAATGAAAACAAAATAAAATTCGAATCCTATCCCAAGGTAAACTCTGAATTAAGCTGACAAAAATATTTGCTCAAAACTAGTTCATAACAACCTATATATGTAGCGAAGACTAAACATGTAGAAGGATTGAGCAGAACTACTCCTGCATTCACAACACAGCGCTGCTAAAAGATAACGATAAATACAGTCAAACTGAGATTAATACAGCCAGCCTAGGACTTGAATCGTTTCTTCAGAGCAAAGCCACTTTCAGAAAGAAGCCTCGACAAAAACCTCTTGCTTCTATTATCAGTGTACTTTCTTTGTTCATCACTTAAGTTGCTTATCAGAGACCAATGTGTCTCAAAGTCAGGCTCATAGCCGACTTGCTGCATTGCCTGCATCATCTCCGATGCCTGGTTAAGATTCTTTTCCATGCGGAGAGTGTTGATTACAGAGCAAAACATATCTCTCGTTGGAGTTTCACCATCCTGAATCATGTCCATTAGGAACTGTTCTGCTTCTTTTGTTCTTCCATATTGGCAGAAGCAATGGACAAGCATTTCCTGCGTTTCGAGTTTTGGTTTGAGATCATGGATAGTCATCTCAGAATAAAAATCCAAAGCTCTGTCCAATTTATTTTGTGCACAGAATCCATAAATTACAGCATCATAACTGGTGGAGATTGGAACGTTATGTTTCTTCAGCATGATGTTCATAAGAGAAACCGCCTTGTCCAGTCTTCCATACTGGCAAAAACGCTTAACCAGATTATCGTAATTGATATTATCTGGGGTTAAAAATCTCTCCTGCATCCTGTCCACAAAATTTTCTGCTTCATGTATCTTACCATGAGAAAGAAGGCCTTCAGTTATTGCATTTTGAATGGCTGAACCATGACTCCATCCCCTTAATTCCATTTCTTTACTAAATTCCAGGGCTTTTCGCAGTTCCCCAACATTACACAGGCTACTTATAACCACCCTCAAGCTGCGGCTGGCAGGTTTGAGTTCCTTCCCAATCATAGTAGTTAAAAAATGCGCCGATCTGTGAACATCCTTACATTGCAAGAATCCGTAGACAAGAAAATTATAAGTGACTTCATTGGGATTGAGTTTGCTCCCATCCATTTCATCTAGTAGCATATTAACAAGAGAATTGTTTCGAGATGACAGGAGATAAAATATAAGTATGTTATATACTACATGGCTATCAAATATACCTTGTTCAAGCATAAGGTTTTTCAAGCTTAAAGCATCTTGGACTCTACCTGTCAGACACATTATTCGCACCAAACTCCGATAACTTGAGAGGGTTACCAAGTTTTTTCTAATAGCAAATCCAAGTAGTTCCCCGACTTTCCTCAAATCATAAGTTTTCCAGTTCCCTTGAATAATTATATTGCACACTTCAGAATTCAAAATTAGTCCCTTTGACAAAATATCCTGAAATAAAGTGTCTGCTTTCTCAGTGTTCCCAGAATTATAAAACCCATGGATCAATGCACACTGAGCAGAAGTAGAAAATGCAGAGTGCTCTTTCAAAATAATATCCTTCAATGCAATGGCTTTGTCAAACAAATCAGCCTTACAAAGCTGATTAATTAACAAGACAGAAACATACAGACAGGGTGCCAAATTTTTATCCATCATACCATTTAATACAGCAAAGGCTACATCAAACTTCCCCTCCCTAAACAAACCCCTTATAAGATGATTATAACCAGCACGATCCAAGACAAACCAAGGTTGTAGCTGTTCTAAGAACACGAGGGCAACACCAGAAAAACCAGTAATACAAACTACTTCAAGGAATGTGTGACAAATGTCTAACCTTCGGGAAGGGTAAGAGAGCAGCATGATTTCAACAAGCTGCAATGCTTTCCCAATCATTTTTTGATCACAGACATAAGTAAGAAGATCTCTAAAAACTTCCAATGCTGGTGACCAGCTATCTTTTTGAGCAAGATCCCAGTAATTATTAAAGTCCCTCATGTTTCCTTTCTTACATAAACTCATTAGTAGGGCAGTATATGTCTCATTCTTGACACAAAGTTGACTTTGAAGCATTTCTTCCAGTATAAACTTTGCTTTGCTCAGAAACCCCTTCTTGCTGTACACCTGAACAACCAAATTGAGCGTTTCCAGGTCTAATTTACATGCCAACTGTGGCATTTTCTCCAAAAGGTTCGTCATCGACTTGATTTGTGACCTACATGAGCAAAGTTGTCTCACTAGCTCTGAAAAGTCAGACAACAGCAATTCCTGCCCCCACCTTAGCATTTCTTCTACCAAAATAAGGGCACCTTTTAGGTTGTTGTTGATGCATTCATTCCTGATACATGAATTGAAATTAGGTACAGTGGAATCTTCAAGAACCCCATTAACGTGGTTCTCATACCAATCCAGGTCAGTATCTAAATAAAGTCCATTTCCAATATCATCGAAAAACTCTGTTTTTGAAAGTTTTACATCATTGTCTCGTTTCAACCTCACAGTCGATGGATCCATCCCCAAAATCAGAAATGCCTTGGAAAGTGGATCGTCAGACAAAGAAAGTTCGATTAAGCCACGCCTCTTCATCTCTAAAATCAAACTTCTTATTTCATCAAATTTTCTAGCCATACAATATCCTGCTAGGAAAACTCTAAAAGTTGACATATCAGGTATTGTTCCTCGATCCATCATCTCATCAAGGATGTCACGAGCATGCTTCAACATTCCAACCTTAAACAACCCACTTATAAGAGCATTGTAAGTATATATTCGAGGTGAAATGCTTTTTGACAGCATAATTGACAAATAACCCAGTGCATTCTTCAAATTCCCTTCACGACAGTTCCAACCAATTAAAATCCCATAGGTTAATTCATCAGGACAAAAGCCTATATTTTGTAGTTCACGCATAAACATTCCGGCCCTTTCTGCACCATAGCAGATGCATACAGAATTTATAACTCTATTGGCAGCCATTAAGGTCGGGGTTCGTTTTACTTCAACGAAGAATCTAAGAAGATCTTCAAAGTCCTTCTTCTCACAATAGCCCATAGTAATTTCATCAAGAATTAAGCCACTAATCTCAAAATTGTAAGGTAAGACCTTCTTGACCAAAGTTCTAGCTTGGAGAATATTACCATTTCTGCAAAGTAGTCTTATGACATCCTCCAGCGTATTTATCTCATCAACACTCCATGAGGGACCCAAATCCACCAAATCCAGTGAAATTCGAGATGCAAGTTTTATTCTCTTCATTTGCACCAAAGCATCTAAGAAAGCACAATAGCAGGACCTAGAAAGAATTATACTCCGTTTCCTCATACAGTCGTATATTGAGACGGCTCTCTCTAACTCGTTCATGCCAACATAACCTTCAACCAAATTACTGTAAAACTCATGAAAATCCAATGAAACTCCACAACCCTCCAATGTAGAGAGCAAGTTCTCAGCTTCTTGAAGTAACCTGACTTGAATAAGCATGGAAGCCATGACTTCATGCGACATAGAAAGATGCTTGGACACCCTATTCTGCTCGTCAGCCCGTCTGAAAATTTCCCACAGACATCTGACCTTGTCCACCTGAAATCCATCTTTGAGAGACTCCGATTGAAGACCTAGTAATATTTCCAGTAAATTTTCGGGTTGCAACACAGACAACCTCCACAATCGACGAGTGATTTCTGGGATTACATCAGAAATCTCCAAAAGTAGATCTTTAAGAGAAGCAGTAGTATAGTCCCTGGCTTTATCATCGGAAAAGGAAGATTTGGATAACACAGACCGAGAGAAACCACGAAAATCGATTGAAGAAAAATCTACCTGGGTCGTCCAATTTTGGTTGCTTAAAGAAGATGAAGGAAAAGTAATGGCAGCGGATTGAAAGTTGAGTAGAATCCGTGGGAGGTAACGGACGGAAGAAATAAGCGGTTTGTATGAAAACTTGAGGGAGAGCAGAGTGAAGCAAGAATGGAGGATCATTCGTTGGCAACTGGCATCGAGTCATCGACTATGAAAGGCAGGACAAAACAATGTCGTTTATTAGGCTAAGACTTTGATCTGCAAGCTAAAATAATGTCAAGTTTCAATTTCAATTTTCAACACAAATAAAACAATTTCAGTAAAGTCAGACTCAATTTTTAATTCCAAGACAATATATTTCAAGTTTGAACCTAATATAATCAACAATCAGGCAGAGTAACATCATCATCTCATCAAAGAGTGATTTTCAGCAGGAATAATCAGTGATTCAGTGAAATATGGGAGTGAATAGGAGGGAGAGCAAACCGAAACGAGGGACGAGCAGCACTGAAGTGAACAACAGCTCCAGCGACGGCAATAGCAGCGAGAACAAGTGCACAACAGCAAGGAAGGGAGAAATGCGAAGCAGAGAAAGATAAGCAACAACAAAACAGAGACGAGCAGGAAAACGAGACAGAGCAGCAACACCGAAAGGAAGAGGCACTGAAGCAGGAATCGATTTGGGAGAGGGCGACGACGAGCAGCAAGCGAGAGACACTGAGACAGAGCAGCGAGCCCGGCGACAGCGAACGAAAGGGGGTGGGCCAGCCAGAGGCACAGAGGCAGAGATGGATTGGCTAGCGATCGATCTGGTTTCAGTTTCAGACATCCATTTAATTTTTTTTTTTTAAACCTGGCTTGGGATAAAGAAAAAAAGGGGAGAATGAGGGGGTAAAAACTCTAAAAATAGACAAATAATAAATAGAAATCTGATAATTATTTTATGATCAGGATTTGACTGTCAATTAATTTTAATATGAAAAGGATTATTTTATCCCTTAGAAAAAAAAAATATGGTGCGTTCCTGTTTTCCTCTAAATTCAAGATCAAATTCTCCTCCTGTTCTGCCAATTCGACCACACCCACCGGATCATCAGCTTCAATTTCCGTTCAGAAGACTCCATTTTGTGCTCCAACAAAGTTCTGTTCCTTCTTTGGTATTATCCTTTTTGCTTTTTTCTTGTACGGTTAAGAAGATTCTTCGGAGAAACTGCCACAGAGAAGCACGTCTTTTTGCTAGGGAAAGAAGATACCCTTCATGCCTCGGCCCAAGCTACCCAAAACTCAGCATTAGAAATCGAGTAAAGGATGTCCTCAATGCTCACCACAATTAACTCATTCACCTATTCTCCAAGTGCTTGATCGTTTGATTCAACGAAACCTAAAAGAGAATCACCATTTACCTTCTTTTTTATTATTATTATTATAATCACCATTTACTTTACTCGAACTGCACTTACAATTTGATCGGATGTAAAATGGGGGAGAATTGCTTAACAAAAGGGTACCTTGGAGCTTGTGCTGATTTAAGGCAATATTCAAGAAAGAATTTATGGGAAGAAAATATCTTTATCATTCCACCCATAATTGATTGCACTCGCATGATTGTCTAGAAAACCAAAACCCGAAAGCAATTTTATGTACAAAAAAAAAATTAATCAGAATGAAATTCGCTTAATCATCGCGATATTTCCACCATGACAATTTAGGAGTCGAGCACTATCTTCGTAAAGGCAAAAACGGCCTTCCAGGTTTCAGCAAATTTGTTTGCTACTAACCGTGGCTTCAACGAGGGAGATCAAGTAGTCAACCACGAATCATCAAAGTCAATACAAGGCTTCATTTGTGACAAATCTGTTCCTACTTGTCAATGTTGAAAGTTCGAGACGCTGCCAACAATGTCACTGTTGTCCCATTTCTCGCTCATTACATAAAAAATGTTGAAGGAAACCCAGAGTGCTACTGCTAGTGCTACTTTAATATTTAATTACTATACTGAAAATAGCAACCAGTCGAGGTGATGGGTGACGTAAAACTAACGCAACAGTATTAACAGATTAGCTCTAACATGTTTGGCCACAAGAGCATGTAATTTTGAATAACACTTCTTGCTTCTTAACTAGGCAAGCAATAAGACCGCCAGAAAGGCAGAAACCACATAACAATGCAGAGTTTCAGGAGATTACATGTGAGATGTTAACAGTCACCTATTTTAATACTAGGGAAAAATATATTCAAAATAAAACAAATAGTCAACATCCCATGAAACAAGGCTTATCATATTACAAAATGCAGTTTTATTCACCTCACAAAGCCGGAAGACGTTTCACCCATGGTTCACAGCAAATTCAGTCCTCAGGCAAAGCCCCCCCCTTCCACCAATCTCTAACGCCATTCAGATGTCTAGAATGACTGTCTTCGGTAGGTAAAACACGCTATAACAACCCCAACTATAAAGAAGTTCTCAAAGCCACGAAGCAACTTACGTTTAACCAGGTTGTACGAAAAATTAACACATTATCCGTGACACAAGCACTAGACAGGCCATTAACATTTATTTACTACTTTTTACTATTATACTAATAATGCACGAACACATTATAGTAAAAAATTCCTTCCCAATTCCAATGCCAGTCACATGAATAAATTTCAAATTTTTTACTTTTTTTTTTTTTTACTGTAATGCATTTGTGACACAATCTAGAAAGTCAAATTGCAACTGACGTCACATAAAACCTTATGAGCCTACAAGGAGTAAGCCAATGAGCATGTGTTCGTTATACTTAAATAGAGAGCATGCGAGAAGAGCTTCACAAGAGATTAAGTAGCATTTGGATAGAGAAAGACATTAAAGCAAATTTTATCGGAACATTAATCTAACACAGCATCTCCAATCTTGGACAACATCAGAGGGCACAAAAACCATCTGAACTATGTTAAATGACCCTTACCAGAAACATGCTGCAAAGTGAAAAACACCAATCTGAAACAATCCATCATAACAAAATTAAGCCACACTTTCTTAAAGGGAGAAGGGAAGAACATCATAAATTCAAGATGCAGCTTGGAAGCCAAACAAACTCAAACAAGCCCTACAAATCCAGTTTGACATATCCATGCATACATAATGTTGCAAATTCATAGAATAGGGCACTACTTAGTACCACATCCCAATAGCGCCTTCTTTGCAACCGTAGATTTCCACTATATGGCTTATATTAAAAATTTAACAGCATAATGAGAACAGTTTCTTACCTCCCATCAAACTAAACCCACAAGCATGTCCTTAACCAAGAACGAGTTTGTCCATACGAGCTTCAATTATGAGTCTTCTGCATAATGAGAATAGCTCATACCTATAGTTCAACAAATGCTAGAACCTAAACCCATAAGCACATACCTTAACGAGAAAAATAGTGCTACGCAGAACACGTTACCTACTTATGGAGTTGCAGTGATAAATAAAGACATCAATACATGAAATTCAGACAACAAACCACCATCAACTTTTTATGTATATGATTGACTTAACCAGAATTAACATTAAATTCAAATGACCACAAGTCTGTACTACAGATGATTGTAAACAAAAGGGAGAATAAAAAAAGAACTAGTGAGCTTATACAGCTTCCAGAGGATCACAAAAACATCATGTTTTAGTTATAAAGACAGGAACTAGTATTGGAAAGCAGCAACAAAGGCAGGCCAGCTTTATAGGTTCTTGGTAGCAGAAGTTATCAAGCTTGGGGAACAAGGTAATTTGAACATGGCCAATTTCAATAGTCTCCACATATGGTTGGTCCTCTAAGTAGAAGCATCAAGGTAGGCCATGAGTTTGTCAAACCCTGGTTCATCTGATCTTCCAGTTTAAACAGTAGGCAGGCTTCAGGCTTCACATATCTCAGCTGTATAAGTGGGAAGTGAGAGGCAACAAGGTAAAACAAGAGCATCAGAATTCTACACGGGACAATGGTTAGGTTAAGATACCAGACTCTTAAACACCAATGTCAGGGGCCTAAATTATAGGTAGTTGTCAGATATAAGACAAAAGAGTCGGTGAAACTGTATTCTACCTGCAGGTATCCATGAACAAGTTTTAGTAAGCATGGTTTCTCCTCCGAGAAACACTGTGATGACTAGACAACCTGGTAACAGATACTAAATATCAGCACTGATGAGCTTTGAAACAGCCAGAATATGAAATCAGTCAAGTGGCCTCTCCACAACAAGGACAGGGAACACCAAGGAGTCTCAGAGAACATAAATCAGACCAAACCTACGGTTCCAAACAGGTTTCATGTTCATGGCACAGAAGCTTCAAACAAGGTTCCTAAAGAAGCTTTAGTCTAGAAAATGACTTCATAACCGTCTAAAAGAAAAACCTTTAGTGCTCATATAACATCAGAATTATATTACGCATTCACCCAGAGAGAGTAGCACAAGACAAAGCACACTAAAGAAATTCTACAGATAAAGAGAAAAGAGCAAATATGGTAAAATTTGTTACCCAGAAGTGCCAGTCCGTCCCAAAGAATAACTTCCATAAGCCCCATAAGCACTGCTACCACCAAACTACACATAAATGGCACAATTTTGCAGTCATTGAATCGGAAATGAGTGAACATGCAGAACTCATAAGTTACTTCTTCACAATTGCCTGTGCCTGGAAGGTACCTGTGATCCACCGTAGCTTCCATAGCCATCGCCAGCAGCTAAATCACTTGAACCCCCATATCCACTTGAATAAGAATGTCCACGTCCATGCCTTTTACCATCTCTAACATCATAGCTTAAACCATCCGGGCCATCAGCTGGAACAGGAAGATATGGCAGAACTGGAAGAAATGCAGAAACAGCCCCCTCCCTGTCAAAAAGATTTGCTCTTAATCGTGAAAGTACCTGCACAAGAGCATCCTTTGCAAGATCGAGGTCTCCTGAAATCTGATCACCAAAATATAAATAAATAAATAAATAGAGGAAACAATTTTATTCAAAATTATTGAAGATTAAAAGCAACTATAAATGACAGAGAAACTCAGTAATAATAAATAAAGAAACAACTATAATAACTTTACCTGAACCATTTCATCATCTTCAGATGCTATTTTGGGAAGACTTTCCTTTGACAGGATACGGATGTTTGCTTTTGTCAGCCTTCTCATCTCAGTTATAATAGTTCCTCCTTTACCAATAAGGCAGCCAATTCGTGAGGTTGGCACCAACAATCGAGTTGTGAATGAGATAATTCCTGAATCTCTTTCAACTTTCTCACTGCACCGGGGCTGTAAACGTACAGCTGCTTCGATGGTCGGAGAAAAAGTATCTTCAAAGAACTGCATGAGAACAATTTTAAGAATCTTGCAACTAAAGCAAAAATCTGGAACCTATATTCCATATGCCCATAACAATTAAAAAACAATCCCGCTAAATGATCAATAGACAACAATTCACCTCCTTTGTTGAAATAATTATTAAGCAATCATCTCCTTCTGTTGCAGAGCTATCAACTTTAATTGTTGCCCCAGAATCCTGCCTAATTTGATTTATTATAGCACCACCTTTGCCTATCACGCCTCCAATGTTTCCAGTTGGACAAACCAAACGAACTGAAAATTCCTTTGAAGATGTTTCATCCCTTGGAGCTGAGTACAAGGATCGAGGCCAGTCTCCACTATCACCTTTATATCCCCCATAATGACCCACAAGAGGAGCTATTCCCACAATTGGACCTCCTGCAGTTGGGCCAACCAGCGAACCACCAGTAGGATATGCACTAGGCACTGCAGAGGCAAGAAGACTCTGAGACCGCGATGGGTTGTCATGAAGTCGACTTGCAATCTGATACAGAGCCTTCTTCACAGTTGCAGCATCACCAGATATCTGCAGTTCCACAAACAATGCAGCCATAAGGGAAAAAATATATATATCACATAACAGAAGCAAACTAAAAGTGAGATGTGTCAGCCACATCCATAACATCTGAAAACAGGACAAAACCACAGCATGCAGATTAAGAAACATGTAGTAAAGATCAATAGAATTAAATCAGAATATCATCATTTAAGACTAACATACAGCTAAAAGGTCTGTTCTACCAAGAGAAAAAAGTTTTCAATGTCCACAATGACGAGAATTATCATAGTTAATAAAAACAGTGAGATAATTATTTCACTCATTGGTAATGATGATACACCAGCCATTTAACCTCAGAAGGGCAGGAGTAAAACTAACATTAAACTAATGAAATATGTGAAAATTATAATTACAGCTTTAAAAACATTAAAAAAATATATATAAGGGAGACAAGCTCATTCATCATGTACTAACATGAGTAAAAAAATTATGAAACTTTTTGCAATTTACAGGGAAAGTTCATTCCAGTCCGGGCAACACAATTACAAATGATTATGGAGAACAGTTGAAAGGATCGCATGTCCTTCTATGGTTAACATCAAGATGTGGAAAAAACCAATATTGAGAAAACCTATCCAGTTTACCTGCACAAGTTCATCAGAGTTCAAGGCACAAGGAGGCAAATGGTCATCCTTTAGTATTCGTATCTGGGCCCCAGTATCACTGCGGATGCTCTGAACAATCTGTCCGCCTTTTCCAATCACACAACCTATTTGATCAGAAGGTACAAGAAGCTTGGCAGTGGCTTGATGACCTCCTTCAGTGTCCTGATCACTGTGCCACTCTTCAGCAACCACCCTGTCATGCACTTTAAACAGAGCATCCTGTGCTGGTGATACAAAATTACCACTGTCCTCAAAAGCATTAGTCTCGTCACTTGAGCTGTAGATTGTAATAACGCGCTCTTCACATCCAGGCACAGTCTCACCAATCCTAATTTTTGATTTAGTGTCTATCCTTAATTGCTTAACAATCTCACCTCCCCTACCAATAACACTACCAATCTTTCGAACAGGGCACAGATAACGGTACACAGTATCTTCTGCATCAATTATGAACTGCTCTCTTTCCTCTCCTGGATTTCTCCTTTTATTTCCTCCATTATCATAGTCAGATTGAGTGTGGGAACGCTTTCCATAACTACTTCTAGGACCCGCCATCAGGTCAAACAGTTCTGGAGAAGTCCAGATAGTCAGATACTCTACATTGACCAAAGAAAGTAAGAAACCCTATAAAGGTTCACAAACCATTTACAATAGTTCATAATGATCTGTACCATAACTAAGAGATGAAACAAAATTCTAATGCATTAGTGGAATATCTATCTAATCCACTATCATGACGATACAAATTAAAATGAAATTTCCAAGACTCGCTTACTCAAACTAGCATTTGAACAACACTTGTACAGGACATTTCAACGCCATTCTAAAAGAAGACTTGGATCAATCGCACACAACATACTCCATCGCCCTCCACTTCCCAAAAAGTTAAGCTTTAAAAAATATCACTGCTCCGGACTAAAACTGCGACTACTCCAATGGCAAGCACAAATAACACATACAGATTAAGTGGCGACGCAAAAGTTACCAGGGTAACCATTCATGAAAATGTGAATGCAAGAATGCCGCAACAGACGAAATACCACATAGCATATAAACTCCAAACGCACTAATCACACAATCCCATCAAGCAGAAAAAAGATAGTATTTTAAATACTTCGGTCCAAATTTATCATGGGAGAATGACAAGGACGGACTTGTAGGAACATTAATCCAAATCAGGAACTTTAATATCGAAACATGGTAAACGCAGTACTGAAATTTGGCAACGCCAGTTGAAAAATTCTAATTTAACATCAATATTCTTACAAGGTTCTTATTTGTCATTCTCCCATTTATCATTTATATCAACCCAGAGACAATTTTATATCAATGAGACGCGAGTAAACAGAAGGGAAAAAAATATCAAATAGAGAGAAAATAAACAGAAGGGAAGGTAACTTATGTCAAGCTCGATGTTATAGAGAAATCTGAGGGTGAATAAATGGTAAAAAAAAAAAACAAACAAACAAACAAGGAAAGGTAACCAGATCTGGGCGTGGACTTGCGCAGAAGGGGAAGGAGAGATGCTTACAATGAACAGATTGACAGCGTCGAATATGGAAATTCGATAATCGTCCACAGCAACCTGGAGGGTTATTTTTTTTTTTTTTTCTTGTTTTGACCAACACAACCTGGAGGTCGAACGATGAAGAATGCGCTTGGCATTAGGGTTGGCAACCTCCTATATATAAAATAAAATAAATAATAAATGAATCATCACCGCCTCAATCAACCCGACCCGGTTCTTTAAAAAAAAAAACGAAACTTTTTCCGTGGTTCGAGAGGAAGATTGCTAAGAAACGTCCCTTTTTCTTTTTGGACGACAAATAAAAAAATCGAGATTTTAATTAAATATTAGCTAAATATCAATTTTAAATTTTTATTCAAAAAATAATTCAATATTTTTGATGAAATAAAATACATCAATCAATATTAAATTCAAATCAATCAAAAATACTTTTAAAATTTAATAAATATTATTAAAAAAATTCCAATTTTTGTTCTAAAACTTTCTACATGATGACATGTAATATTTAAATTTAACTTTATGATTTGATTAATAAAATTATTTTCCCATTAAAAGATAATTGTCTCATATCTCACTTAACAAGATAAACTTAAATTTCAATGTAAATTTCAACATGAGGGCAAGGGTCTTTTTTTTTTTTTTGCCAACAAGTGCTAAATATTATTGCATAAAAGCAGAGAATAAAATCTTAAAGAAAATAATGTAAAATTGAAAAACCCAAAGCAAGAAAAGACTAGACAAAAGCAACAAATCAACCTTTATTACTTCAAACAATGGATGAGTTATGATTTGTTGTAGATGAATAAGAGTTTTTGGCATCCTTAGCTAAAATAAGAGATGAAAAAAGTGATGGTATATTCACTCATCTTATCAAATTCACGTTCTTATAAGCAATAGCAATAAGAGAAGCAATGAATCAACTGTAAAATTACCTTTGCAATGAACAAAGGAACTAAAAAGCTTAACAAGGGGAGAGGAGTTTGGTAAGGTGGAGGAAAATTTGCCCTCCCCTCCCCTCCCATCTTTCAAACCAAATAAATTTTAATCACTCAGATTAGGTTGACCTTTAGATAAGAGGAAGGTAATGGCTTTCAAAAATGACTTTTGCATTGCTCGAATTCTGTGCCAGTATGAAAGCCTGAAGGAGGGCTAAGGCTAACACTTCAATCATGAAAGCTGAGATGGATTTAACCTTGTCAACAAAACCATAAAAAAATCAGCCATTATCATCTTGGCTAATGATGCCAATTGATGCACTGCCATTTGTCTCAGAAAAATAATCACTATCACAACTTATGTTAATGGAATTTAAGGGAGGATCAACCCAGTTAGTGAAAGATTGTTCTTGGTTGGTGGTACAGAAATGACAGTTGGAACAAATTATTGGCTTTCCAAAACGCAGAAACAGCCCTACGAGATTCCTCAATTATAAGGGTCGAATTGGGTTGAGTATGGTTAAATACTTTAAGATCATTCCTTGCTTTCTAAATAAGCCACAGCATCCAACATAGCAGTGCAAATGAAAAAAAATATGCACAATGGTTTCTTTCTCAGCGTCACAGATGGGACAAGCCATTGAGAAGCCTTGTCAATTGCCTCTTCACACACGGGTATGTTTGGCACTGTTCCAAATTTCTGTAGAAATTACAAAAGAATTACCACCTGTGTTTTGAACTTCTTCTTCTTTCTGGCTCTCCATAACCTTAATGCACCCAAGTTTGACCGTATAGAACTAAAGATGCTATTTTTTGTGCCATTCAAGAAATTTTTTGCTCTCCGTACTCACTTAGAAAGGTAAACTTAAATTTCAACGCATTTTTTAAATTATAGAAAACAAAATTATAAATTTAATTTAATTTAATTGTTTATATCATTGACAGTGAATATGGGAACGAAAAACGTAAATTTCAACGCATTTATTAATTAATTATTAATCATCGTGATATGATTGAATAACAGTGCACGTCTGCACATACTCCCATTGGGTCACACCAATAAAATTTGGCAGTTATGCCATCATTTTTTTAGCACAATCCTATCAATAATAGCTTGATTAGATCAATACATCATTCTTCTTTGCTTCAAAAATCCAAATAAATTATTCTAATCTTTTCGCTGGATAGATTCTCGCATTAATTTGAATTAATACAGAGGGGGATAAAAATTTTTAATTCTTTTATAAACAGATGCAAATGAAAGGCTAAAAGCTGAATTGAAGGGTGTGTCATGTGCATTTAAAGTGAAGAAATTCAGAATGCTAACTGTAGACGACTGAGCTATAAGAAGGTTGGGGAAGGTGAGGCACTGGGCAGTTAACTCGGGCCAGTTGAGGTTGGTGGTGATTGCAACTTAATTTTTTTATAAGTGTATCTTAAATATTCTTGATAATCCCATCCCTCCAGTCATAGAGAAAAGATTCATGATTGATTTTTTTTATCATAAGTTTCGCCTTTTTATTTTCATTAGACGTTGGAGAGAAAATGTATGTGATTAAAGTGCATGTATTTATTAGAGGAAACGTTTCGTCCAAAAAAAAAAATTAGAGGCAACGTTAAAATCTCGTTAAATTTTTAAACATGATTAATACTGGTATTTTAAATTTTTTTTACTTAGTACAACTAGTATGATAACCGTTCCGTGCACAATGTATTTTTGTAACTTAAAATAATATTATTTTAGAATATTAATTAATATAGATGAAAAAAATTTACATGAAATATATTATATTACAATTACATTATTAAATAAAAGATGAGTGTAAAATTATGAAAATAAAATCTAAAAAACTTATTATGAATCTTTAAATTCCCAAAATGATAGTGGCCTCCCTCTTTATACCTTTGGCTTCCTTTTTCCAACTCATTCACAATCTTCTTAATTTTGTTTTGTTTTAACTCTCATGAGGAAGCCACCATGATTGATTAGGTCTAGCACTCCATAGTTGTTGAGAAGATTACAAGCCAACTCCATTTCCGTCATGATCTATCTTCTTTATAAATCACAATATTATTTATTATTTTTATTCTGGTAATATTGTGATTTTACATTTTTTTTATCATTTATTGGTGCATCTAATAATTAGATAGTTTGCAATATCTTTCTCATGTTCAATTCATGTAAAATTGAAGCTCTTGACTTATATCATATCACAATGTATCTACTTAATCAAGCAGTCAAAAATAGACAACTCAAGTATAAGATGTTTCATTGAATAAAGGAGATGAAAGATAGATGGTGACTGCTAGTGTCGGGTTATCTGAGATTAGATGTAGATGGATTGATCAATTAACGAGGTCATGCCACATGCAGAGGAGTTGTTAGAGATTCATTGGGTAATTGGATTCTAGGATTTCAAAAAAGATTGGGTTTCTTTTCCCTTGCTGTAGTTGAATATTTCGCTCTTATCTCATGTCGAAATTTAAATTTGTGTAAACAATTCTAGTTAGATAAAATTCAGTATCATAGAGACTCTGTAGAGGCAATACATCGGCTTCGGATTGGGAGGATTAGCACACCCTCTTTGATAAGATATTATTGAAGCACATAACTTGTTATACTCAAATTGAAAAGTGAAGGTTTTTTATTCTAACTGAGAGAATCTATAAGTGGCCAACTTCCCTCAACAAAGGCAGAAAAATCTCTACATTCCGATGGAACCTACCATTGGCTACTCTACTTTCTATTGGGCCGATAAATCCCGTGTTACTTACTTGGTGAATTCTGTCCAAGCCGTAGCCTGTCATTTGTATGCAAAAACAAAAAAAAAAAAAAGCACACTTTGGGTTATGCTAAGCAAGATGTATCGTAGTTTCTAATGTTTAATTATTCATGTCATTTAATCAATCTTAATATTAAAACACTTAGAATAATGTGTGGTCAGATGACTCAGATCCACTGATGTTATCTAATGTCTATGGCGCGTGTTTTCACGGAGCCTGGTGCTACAGGATGTAGACATTGAGGACCCCAATATCTAAGTCCTGAGATTCGTCGTCCCCCATTTCCCAACAAATTTAACTTTCTTGGCCAAATAAAATTATATTAATACAGATTCATCTCTCTCTCTCTCTCTCTCTCTCTCTCATGCACGGCATAAAATCTAAATTGTAACCAAGGCCATAATTGCGTGCAGACCAAGTTCCGTTCTATCTAGTCCACGTTAATTATAATGACTAAGAACTTATTTTCCAACTCCCAAATCATTACATAAGAGTGTAATCAACCAAATGATGTAATATTAATTGGTATTTATTAATTAGGAAGGAATATTCCTGAAGAAACAAAGGTCACTTTTGGTTACTAAAAATGAATAGAATGAAATAAATTAAAAAAGTAAGAGTAAAATAAGATGATTAAATGAGATAAATGAGTATATTCATAAATGAGAGGAATAATTTAATTCACAGGGTTAGAAATTATGATTCGTGAGATTTTTGAAGGATATAAAGATTTTCATATTTGTAGTATATATTAATAAATTTTATCATACTTATCATGGGAGGAAGGGTAATTTAGTTCATTTTTATCTTAATTTTTTTAATTCATTCCATTCAATTCCTTTCTAATAACCAAATAGGACCTAAATCTATCTATTTAAGTATACAATAATTTTTTTATAAAGATAGAAACTAACTAAAGTAGGGGAGTTCAACTTATACTTGTCCTGATTGGCCGACTTTCATCCTAATCATATCAGGACGGGTCTTGTTTCAACCTAAAAATAATTGAGATAAAACTTTACGAGACAAGATAAGAAAAGACTTCAGGATTGGACGTGACACAAGATTTTCCTATATTAAGAAAAGGCTTCTTATTTAAAACTAAAAGTTTTTTATATTAATAATTTTAATGACACAGAGTAAGTAGTACAAGATAATATTTTTCTTTATAATATATTAATTATATTAATGCAATTTATTCTTACATCTATCTATTTACTTTTGTTTATATCTTATTTCTTGCTTTATTTTCAAAAGAGTAATTATTTTAGCATATATCAACTAAAGAAGAAGAAGAATGACTTAATGTTGTGCCTAACTTATTTGTTGTTATTAATCTTATAATTTAGAGATCACTTGTAATTGCTATTATAATGTGTTATATACTTGTAGTTGTGATTGATGTAATTTAATAATTAACTTTAAATTATTGTGATTTATGTACTCATGCTGTTTTGATTTTAAATTTAATAAGTTATGTGATTTAAAATTTTAATAAATGTTATTATTCATATCTTTTTTTTCACATTGCTCGATTTATTGGGACGGTGGGAAGTCCCGATGTCGTCCCAATTTTTAAGGAGACGGGAAGGAAAATAAGACAAAAATTCAGTCTTGATTTTTTTTTAAGATGGGACACAAGATAGGAGTGTTCCGATCCTATGAACACCCCTACCTGAAAGAATAAAGGACAAGTTGGCAAAGATATAAAGCTCTATCAAAAAAATACCCAAGAAAGATTAGTTTTGTTAAAAATAATGCATTAAATTCTACCATCAATGTGAGAATCTTGCCAATGAATTAGCCATAAAATATACATTTTTTATAAGGGAAAATCATTCTAAGGTCCTATGGAAGTATTCAAAATACGCTGAGGTCCTATGAATTCATTAAATAGCTGCCAAATCTCTAGAGACTTAAGGGTGAATAAGTCTGAAAATAAAATTACTAATTTGTCCTCTACCATTAAAAAGAAAATTTTGCTTAAATGCATATCTCACGAAACTCATGATCAGCAATACTGAAGATTGATGCATATCCATGATTGTTGATCATGATAGGGTAATTTTTACTTCCTCATATCTATGATTATCGCCCTTGTCTTCATCTAAGCGAGGTGGGAGTGTTCATCCATTACTACAGTATTTCATCGGCAGAAAACAATTCAGTGACTGTTGAGCTAGTAAATGATTTCTTATGCATTAATACTTTCATTATTGTTTAAGGGTAGGATAATGCTTTCTGGGTACGATCATTTGATTTGCATAACTAATGGGTATGAATTTATCTGGTGTGACATTGATAAGTTGAAAAATATCTGATACGAATAACTCTAAATGTTGTCAATAGTGTATTCTTGTCATGTGAAAAAATTAGATGTGACTGGCATAGGATATATACACAACCACATATCCCTTAAGCCTTAATCAAGAAAATTTTAATTTAAAATCTTAATTCATTTGAAATAAGGTTAGGAATTGTAATAGCATTTCCCATATAAACAAAAGGTTCCAAAAATTTTTGTAAAAATTTTAGCAAAACTTCCTCTATAAATGAGACCTCCTGAAATTTCTATAACAACCATTTATATGCAAATCAATTGTATGGAGCACTGCCCCTCCACAACATACAACCGATATAAATTTTTAGATTAGCATCCTACCGATGGTTAATGTGCAGCACTTAAAATATAATCTCAAAATAAAACATATAATTGAATATTTACATCAAAAGAAAAGGCACTCTTAAAAAATAAGTAGTCAACCAGCATAGTGGTAAGCCTCTCAATGATTGGCAGGAGGTTTAGCATCAACTAGTGGATCTGAGACCAAAACATTTTCCAGTGAATAACGTCCCAACAATAAATAATTGAACATGAATAAAAAAAATAAAGTTGAAATAATTATCCAATTTAAAGAGGCAACGATCTTCATAACAATTTAGTAGACTTTTGAAATAAAAGAATTCTATAAAATTTTAAATAAAAATCTCGAACCATTAAAATATCATATCAAATAATATTATTACTTGATTGCAATAAAGCAATAAAATAAATAAATAATTATACATAACTTATTATTTAAAACCAATGGGATGTAAAATTTCTAAACAATCAAATTCATATAATAGGGACTTATCAGAACAATAAATAAATGTAAACACACAGTCCACGAGGGTAAATAATCAAATGTGACTTATGCCACAAAAACAAACGTGGACACACAATCCATGAGGGTAAGTAACCAAACATGACTGAAGCCACAAAACAAATGTGGACACACAATACACGAGGATAATGATAACCAAACGCAGCTTAAAGTCACGAAACAAATGTGAGTACGATGCTCACGAGTAATCATCCCTCCATTCCACGTGCGTTGGCCATCTCACGAGGTTAACACCTCTTATAAACACGCTGCTAGCTAAGTGTACCATGGTGCGCCAAGGGCTAACGAAACTACCGTTAGCAACCGGTGTTCTATATAAAGTCCCTTTTTAAAACCATTTTCAAACATGCGAGAAAATTATCACTTTCAATATACAATTCTCATTCTCAAAATTAAACCCGCATGAATACGCATTAAAACTTGCCAGAACAAAATTGTATATCCAATGCTCATGCTTGCATTTATTGAATAATAAAAAAAATTCAAAATCAAACTCGCATAAATCATTTTCATAGCAATTCAATAATTTTTAGAATGAAAATCCCATAATTAGAATCTGAACTTGTATTTATTGATAAACTAAAATTATCAAATCTAGTAGAGATAACTTCATTGTTGTTGTAAAAAGTACTTTAATTAACAAAATATTCAATAATTACATTATTGCTGTAAAAAGGATTTATAAAAAATGTAATATTTCAATAAAAAAATATTATTATTATATCAGTTAGAACGCTATCCACTTTTCTGTAAAGTTTTCGAATATATAACTTACTACCAACTGGTCCTTTTTGCCACCATGATTGCTCTTGAATCCTAATACCAAGTTAATACCATAGTTAGTTTCTTCCATAAATTTTATTTTATTTATTTATTATTATTATTATTTTAACACTATCAATTCAAAATGATTGACAATGATGACGTAGACATTCTTAAATTCAACATTTCTCAACATTTATAGATATTCCAAAGATTAATATATAAATAGCAAATTAGTCCTTGGATTATCAAGTAAAGAAACACTCTTTCAAAACATCTCTATCTCTAATTCTAACTTTCTTTATGGAGAATAGCTGCCTCCTATAATAATTTTAATTATCAATAATAAAATCATCATATATCTTCCACCATCTAATAAATTCTTCCTTTCAAGCATTTTATCGAATATCTTATTATATTTATCAAAGTTTAAACAAATACCAAGTCTCTTCTTCCTCACTATCCTTTCCAAAATTTCTCAATATTAATATTTGAGCTAATCAAATTTCTATCATCTATTTAAGAGAATTTTCCTCCAATTATTATCTAATTAATAATAAAATAATTATCATGTATATCTTGTCATCATAAGCCTAATTCTCCTAATAAGCACTTTATCAAATATCTCAGGTATTATCCTTAATCCATAATTCCCTCCCACTTTCTCTTTTAATTTCATTTTTCAAAAATTTCACAAAATTAATATTGATTTCAATTCACTCAAAAGATAAAGCAACCATCATTATTTAAATTTAATAATGCTTCCCAGCTTTAATTCTTTTCCACTAACCAATCTCATCTTAAAGAACACCGACCTCATCTTCCTCTTACAATAACTACAGCAATTTAAGTAGGACACTTACCTCAAATGAACTCCTTAACCTTTAATTTCAACTTGAAAATGCATCTTTATTTTCTCCACTCCTAAGTTGCAACTAAAACAGAGGGAAGAAGAAAAATTTTCAAACCTCCCTCTTACCATCACGTGCACACAGCAAAAAAGAAAGGAGAAGAAGTAAGATTCAACTACACTCACATGATCAACACTGCTGCAAAAGAATAAAGAATGAAGTGGAAGATCAAAACTCCAACGTGCACACCCAAACCAACACGTGGAATCACAGAACAGGGGAGGAGATAATTTGCAGCAGCACAAACGAACAAGAGAAGTAGAAATTCTGCAGCGAGAGACAGTGGAAGGAAGAAGGGGATGATGCTGCGAGTAAGGGTGGAAGAAACATACTCGGACTTCCAACAACAGCTCAAATCTTCACGTGCTTGCCACCCTTCGTCAGACAGAATGGAGAAGGAAAAAGAAGGGCTCGGCGGTGAGAAACAAAGGAAAAGGAAGAAGCTATGAACTAGGACAGCAACGACATGCTCGTGGGCGCAGCGATTAAGTTGAAGATGAAGGAGGAGGAAAGAGACGGAGATGGCATGTGTTTTCTGGTTCAGCTCCTCTCTCCCCCACTCTCTTTAGAAAAAAAAATCCAAGGGAGAATGAAGAAGCTGTGCTCGCCCGTCTCTCTATCTTTTATTTATTTATTTTAACAGAATGGCATTTTTGTAATTCTACCTTGACCCAAAGCTAAAAGATGAAAATGACACTCTTGGCCTCATGAAAAATGGAATTTAAGACCTATTAGTTATGTAATTTGCATAAAGTCCACTAGACCACAATTCCCCCTTGACCTATTTTTACTCAAAAAATAATGAAAATACACTTTAAACACTTTATGATAATTTAATTAATTTAATTTGGTTATTATTATTTTATTATTATTGTTATTAATTTTTTTTGGTCATTACAATTCTTGTGTTGTCAATATGCTATCGATAGTTGTCGATACATTATATTGTGCAGGATGACTTGTAAGAATGCTTATCACTGCTGGAAAACATGTATTATATTATGTTTTTTTTTTCATATACGAGACATTTTATATATTATTCTCAAGCATTTGATACAAGCTTTTTTTGTTGAAAAATCTCTATTATGAAACAACACTGCTTCTTGTCAATAGTGGATGAATGTGTTGTCATTATGCTGTGTACAGTTGTCAATACGTTATGTGTGGTGTAAATTGACTTGTAAGATGACAAGTTCTTTTAGAAAACATATAATATATTTTTTTATATAGGAGACATTTTCAAAATTATGACCAAGAAAGTATGTAATATGTTGGGGGCAGTATTAGAACAAGAACAATAAAGGAACGGACAACAAATAAAGAGTTGACAAAAATGATATCATCGAATGAGCACACACATGCTCTTGTTTAGTATGGTAAATAAGTGGAATACCTTGTGCACATGCATGTGCAGCAATCAAGCTAGTTTTTAACAATGTGTATAATTTTGTAGATGAATGTTACAAGTTTACCGCTCAATAAAAGATAGATGCTAGCAACATGAGGCTGGTAGCCGCACATGATTGTCCATGTCCATAAGCACTGATGGTGACAAATTTATTTACCCAAACCTGCTTGAAGCTATCAATGACTATAAGGCTTTTGGGTAGGCCAAAGCGTAAAAGAAAGGAATCTCAAATCCAAAACAAAAGGGTTTATCATTGTGTAAGATGTCATGAGATTGGTCATACCTCTAAGACTTTCAAAAATCCTAATCCATGCTAGAAAATATCAGAGACAAGTGTACATTTTTATTCATGTATCTGTAATTTATTTTTTTATTTATTGCACCTAATGTATCAACACTTGTCAATAAAGAATGCATAGCTTGCCAATGAAGTGATAATTTGTAGTCAATGACTAATGGTAAGTAGTCAATTGATTCTTGTAACTAGTTGATTTTTAAAGGAAATTACTGCACCTAATGTATCAGCACTTATTAATGAAAAATGCATAACTTGTTAATATAATAATAACTTGTAGTCAATGGCCAACTGCAAGTAGTCAACAGGTTCTTGTAACTGGTTGATTTTTAAAGGGAATAACAGCACCTAATGTATTAACACTTGTCAATGGTGAATGCATAGTTTGTCAATATAGTGATAACTTGCAATCAATGGTCAATGGCAAGTGGTCAATAGATTCTTATAACTAGTTAATTTTTAAAGGGAATAACAGTACTTAACATATCAGCACTTATCAATAGTGAATGCATAGCTTGTCAATATAGTGAAACCACTTCTCAATTGCCAATAGTAAATAATTAATAGGTTCTTGTAACTTGTTAGTTTGTAAAGGGAATAACAGCTTCTAATGTAACAGCAATTGTCAATGGTGAATGAATAGCTTGTCAATATAGTGATAACTACTTGTCAATTAACAACGGGAAGTAATTAACAGGTTTTGTAGTTTGTTGATTTTTAAAGGGAATAACAGCACCTAATATATCAGCACTAGTCAATAGCAAAAGCATAGCTTATCAATAAAGTGAAAACCACTTGTCAATCACAGTTGGCCACTTGTCAACATTTAATTAATAAAACAACCTATTTGCCACATTTACAAACTTATAATCATCATTTATAATAACATTGTCTAAGTTAACTATATGAAATGGGCTAACTATATAAAAAGACATGATTATCAATAAAGTTATATCCTAAAATTCTATCAATAATCTTCTATTTCCTCTTCTTCCTTTCTTAAGATCTTTCTAATAAGGGTATGGCTTCATGCTCCTTCATGTTGTTATAATGACTCAATAGTTACCGTAGAAATTCTATCTTCTTCCTATAGAGGTCATCCTGCACCACAAGTCAGTCTTATAAGGTATAATAGAAATTTTTCAACAAAAAAAGCTTGTATCAAATGCTTGAGAATAATATATAAAATATCTCCTATATGAAAAAAAAACATAACATAATACATGTTTTCCAGTAGTATAAGCATTCTTAAAGTCATCCTGCACAATATAGTGTATCGACAACTATCGATAGCATATTGACAAAACAAGAATATACTATTGATAATATGTAAAGTTATTCGTATCATATATTTTTCAATGTATTAATGTCGCACTAGATAAATTCATACGCATTAGCCTTGCAAATCAAATGATTGCAGGTATACCCAGAAATCATTATCCCATCCTTAAACAATAATGAAATCATTAACGCATAAGAAATCATTTACTAACAATCATTGTATTGCTTTTTGCGGATGAAATACTGTAGTCGCGGATGAACACTCCCACCTTGCTTAGATGAAGACAAGGGTGGTAATCATAGATATGAGGAACTGAAAATTACCCTACCGTAATCAACAATAATAGATATGCATCAATCTTTAGTATCGCTGATCATGGGTTTCGTGAGATATGTTTCAAGCAAAATTTTCTTTTTAATGGTAGAGGACAAATCAGTAATTTTATTTTCAGACTTATTCACCCTTAAGTCCCTAGAGATTTGATAGCTATTTGATGAATTTATGAGACCTTAGCATATTTTGAATGCTTTCATGAAAACTTAAAATGATTTTTCCTTTTTATAAGCATTTATTTTGAAGCTATAGACTTATCCTGACCCTAATAAATCTTGAAATAGAACACAACTTTAGTATAAAAAGAAAAAAGAAAGGTGAAAACAAAAAGAGGGTACAAGAGAGGTTATAAAAATTAAGTGGGGTATGTCCTATGTACGTAAGGGTAGTCACTCCCATGTGAAATACTAGTTTCCAAATTATCATCTGACCCCACTCCCCCTCCCATTTGTCATTTAAACCCCCACTCTTGGTCAATTCTCCACTGTCATCCCTGCCGACGCTTTGACATAGGTATTGGACCGAAATAATATTTCTTCCAAGCACATACTCCCTTTAATCCCACTTATAAATTATATTTTAAAAAATTTATTTGATCTTATTTATAAATTACGGTACAGCTTTTTGGATAATATTTAAAAGATATTTTTAAAATTACTCTTCATAAAAAAAAAGTAATATAATATTATTTTTTGAATTTATTATATAAGAGCATATTTAAAGTTTTATGCACGTTTATTCCTTATACTTTTTTTATATTAGTATTGATGAGTTTGGTAGAAATAACTAATAAAAATAACCCAAGGAATATTTATCAATTTATAGTTTAAGAGGGAATGTGAAATTCTCTCATGAATGAATAAATCATTTGGACATTTACTTTCTACTTTAATTTGCCCAATAATTGTGACTAAACAGTTTGAATATCACAGAGACATGTATAATTGTATCCTGGAATTGTCAGTTGTCTCTAGCAATTGGATTGTGAGAGTAACTTTATTTTACGTTGATGAATAATGGATTGAAAAGAGAAGAATCTATCAAGCACAAGAATTGTTATGGGTCACTGTGTAAGATGTGAACGAAGAGTAGAGTACTGTAGGTGAGAAGAAGATGGGTCATAAGAAGTATAACTCTTGGGGCAGCGTGCGAGTGAGCATAATAACTAGGTAGGTACTTGGTGTCTGCGGTTAAGAACAAATATCACATGTTTGTATTTAATGGCGAAGCAGCCCTTGCATGCATGCCAGCCAAACACGCATGTTTTGTTTTCGCCAAATTCTAACAAGTAGGTAGCTATAGGGCAGTCTTGTGCATGTGCACATTCCTATCATTCCCACAAATTCTACAAAACCATCCTTTCAGTATATGCACAGGTAAAAGGCCCTCTAAAATGATGTTCGCTTCCCAAAAAAAAAAAATCAATTAGAGCTTGCTTAGCATTGAATTTACTGCACCAAGGAAAATAACCAAGAAGCTTTTTTATCATCTTACCTTCTCAGGATTAGGATATAAATAGAGGGGTGGAACCAACAGATCAGTTATTTGAAATTCACATGGAATCTACTTTTCATTGAATTGGATTAAAAAAAGAGACTAGTTTTCATAAAAACAGAGTTCCTAGACCGTTTACTGCCTCGCGCACACACAAACATACATAGATATTACTGCATTTGTATGGTCCCAACAGCTCAAAATGCCTCAGGTCATCTCTGTCATGAGGTTTGACGTTGATTGGCCTCTATTTAATCTCACTCCAATCCCCCCTTCATCTCATCAAAACACCACCTTTAAAGGTTCACCCTTCTTCCTCTTCCTCTTCCTCATCTTCATTCTCTTCCTTTATTACTCTTTGTTGCTCTGTACCAATATTAAATTCCCATATTTATGCGGGAAACAAAAATGGGTCATCTTCATTTTGGTTTTCTTCTCCTGGTATTTGTCTTCTCTGTTCATGGATATGGCTACGGAGGCTGGAATAATGCTCACGCAACTTTCTACGGGGGCAGTGATGCTTCCGGAACCATGGGTACGTTCAGAAGTTGTTTCTTTCAGCATTATTGACAGATAAAAAGGACGAATAACATGTTAAGATGTTGATGTGAAATTATACTGCAGGAGGGGCATGTGGGTATGGAAATCTATACAGTCAAGGATATGGGACAAACACAGCAGCAGTGAGCAGTGCTCTGTTCAACAATGGACTGAGCTGTGGTGCATGTTATCAGATTAGATGTGTGAATGATCCACACTGGTGTCTTCCCGGCACTATTATTGTCACTGCCACTAATTTTTGCCCACCAGGTGGTTGGTGTGACCCTCCCAACCTTCATTTTGATCTTTCCCAACCTGTTTTCCAGCACATTGCTCAGTATAAAGCCGGCATTGTTCCTGTCAGTTACAGAAGGTACAGCTTCTTTCATTTGCCCTCACAGTCACAGTCACAGTGATTTTCAGAATAAACATGAGTAAATAACAATGTTTTCTTGTTTGGGTGTGATTGAATGGGATTGAAGGGTAAGGTGTAGAAGAGGAGGAGGAATAAGATTTACCATCAATGGTCATTCATACTTCAATCTGGTGCTGGTTACAAACGTTGGTGGAGCTGGAGATGTGCATGCAGTTGCAATCAAAGGGTCAAGGACTAGATGGCAAGCCATGTCGAGAAATTGGGGCCAAAACTGGCAGAGCAATTCTTACCCCAACGGTCAAGCCCTTTCCTTCTTAGTCACCACTGGTGATGGTCACTCTCTCGTCTCTTACAACGTTGCCCCATCCACTTGGTCCTTTGGCCAGACCTACACTGGACGCCAATTTCGATATTGAATTGAATTCACCCTAAGCTCATTTTAGCCTTCACAGAAATTAACGACTCTGCATGTTTGTTTGTCCTTAAAAGTCATCATTCCCTGGCTATGCTGCAGTGGATTTGTTATCTTTGGGAGCAAATTTGTACGTCGATTAACTTTTTTTTTTTAAGGCTAAGATTCGACAGGCTGAGAAATACGTGGATGGAAGTATTAGTTTGGTAAAAGAAATCAGAGTAATAAGAGAAGTAAATCAGATATTGTTGGAGGGTGTGGTTGTTTCTAGTATGCCTCCAGAGTGGTTCTAATAGGGGGGGGGGGGTTTCATGTGCTCCTAGATACAGCTTGTGATAATGATTTCATGTACTATGACGTACAACTTGTGATAATGACAAGTCGTTTATAAGAAAACCTCTCCAGCGAGCAAGTGGGATCCTTCTTACTTTGATTGTAACAAGCTGTTGAGCATGCTTTAAATGTTGTTGGGCTTCAATTATTTATGAATAAGAGACATCACGATAATTATAAATACCTGACATCACTTGTGCTTATGAACAGTACCTCCTTTTTAAGATTAAGTCCATACATATATGTATATATTATTGACTTCTTGATATCAGCTCTAATTTCAATAAGGAAGTACGAAATTCCATGAAATGAAATGTAGCCTCTTCCTTCAGTTTTACTCGTGGCATGGCAGGGTCTTTATTTTATTTTTTATTTTTTTATCCTCTTTTATAACCTTTTTGGTGGGTTTATTTTTTTTTTATTGCCATGGTTAGAGTTATTTTAACTAAGTCTTATATTAAAGTCTTGTAAGAGAAGCGAGGTTTATAAATTCAAAAAGTTTTTTCACCAATATACTAGTCTTATAAGATGAATTTTTCCTTTAATTTTGTGCTAATAACATGGACGCTTTCACTAAAAGATCAATCTCACAAAAAGGTCAATTTCATTGAGTGCACATTGAAGTTTTTTTTATTAAACTTGTACTCATGACAACTATCTTATTGTCATTTTTCTTTTTAATTGTTTTGGCCTTTTTATTTTTTGACTCGTTTGACCCACCATTTTTGTCTCCGCTTCATTTAGTGGCATGCTTGAGGTTGGGCCAAATGAGAACCGATTTCCTTTCGTGTTTGCCCTCAATATTAGGAACATTTCACTGAGTGGGGAGCCAACTGTTCCTTGCATAGAAAACATCTGCTTTGCTCAAGACAAGAGTGAATATAAATTCCATTTGACATAATATTGTGGCCTAAATGTTCTTATCACACATCATCTGCAACAAATTCAATTTCATCACAACATGCAGGACAAAATATCTAGTCCCTTCGCGTTCGTGTATGCGTAAATCAATCAAAATTTAGAACTAGTTTCTGATATTATTTATGTTCTGAGCTTTCTGTGTGGACACATAAACTTTCCAGATTTGATATCTCCTTTGAATGAACCCATAAAAAAACTTTAAAGTAAATCTGTATTAATAATTTATAGCAATATTGATTTAAAGAAATGAAGTGTTATGATTAATTTACTGCCTAACTAAAGTTTACTTCATATTAAGGAGGGATAAATTTGAGCCCATCAACGTGATAACGATCAGAGTATGGACCCCTTAGTTGGTAGTTAGTTATAATCTTAAAATTCCTTGATTGTATAATAACACATGCAAGTGGAGCGCCTTTTTTAAAATAAGTTGTTAGGAAGGATTTTTTGACTGGATTTCTGATAAAATATGATTATGTTCCTTTTAATCATTTTGAAAGCAGTTGCTTCAATTATCATTTATTAGAATATAGATCTAATAGCAAAATTCTTTGAACATGGCAAGATCTTTGATTAGCAACTTCAAGGGAAAAGGTTCACATCAGAGTTGCCTCCATCATGTTATACATTGAGCAACAAAGCTCTAATCTAATTGAAGTACATATATAGCTCGTCTAACTACGTACAATATGTTAGGTTTAAGAGAATTTTAGACACTATAGACATGTATGGGAAAGGTGGAAAAGTCCAAACGCATGAAAGTTTTGGATGGCCTGCAAAATCCATATGATAAAGAACAGCGCTTAATTCTAGACCTGAAGAATTTAGTATAACCTTGGAGGTAAAAAAGAAGGAGTTACTTAAAATGAACCTAAAGTGTAATGACTATATGTTTAGACTATAATTATCCTTCAAAAACTTGTTCTCTTTGGCCCTTCCTGTTCTTCTCAACCTATGCTTTCTGTAATTCTATGTTTTCTCAACCAATGATGGTTCTGCATATCAACCAATTGGCATAAACTCCTAACAACTAATACTAACTGCAAAAAATATAGTTGAACTAACTTAGTTATAGCCTCTGTTGACCTCCACAAGCTGGAACATGTTGTTTGGACTAAAATTGAAATGATGCCTATTCAAAAAGACACAATGATTATAGCAAGAATTGGGCTGAGAGAATGAAGCATTAGGCCCAGCAAGTGATTCAATAAGAGTAAGGTTGGTCCACATCATGATAAAATGACTTAATCAAGTAAGAATAGGTCCTTGAATCTTTTAAAACTTGAAACCACCAAATACCGTTGCCTCGCATGAAACCATGATTTTAAGGGGCCTAGAATCTCACAAGATCGTGACCCTCGTCTATGGATGTTTCGGCAACATGGGTTGGTAGCTCATCATCGACATCACTCAGAAGCAATCTAAAACTTTCACAAGCTCTATGCCAGTCTTTATCCTTTGTTTATTTTACAATTTAGTTTAGTTTCATAATTTTTCCATTGTAATTTTGCATTCACGTACATACCAATTAATCAGACTTAATCCTTTCTATCTCAACTTGCATCTTTGTATTTGGGTGAATTAAGGTAAGGAAACTTGAAAACCTAATTTTACTTGAGATTCAGCATCTCTGACATGCTTAGTATTTTAATTAGTTTGGTTGATTTGTTTTCCCAAATGCAAACATATGTATATCATGCAAATTCAGCTATTGGCTTTGTGTAGACAACAGCGAATTGAGTAGATGAAGAAAGGGGCGGCAAGTGAATGACTTTTGCTTGAACCTTCCACGCATCAGGTGTAAGACAATTTTCTATATGCTTAGTCCTTTCATGGAAGGTGAAATTGGCTGCTGTCTGAAGTGCAGATTTGTTACCACAGTTTATCCAATTAGAAATCCATCCTATTTATTACACAAAAACACATACTTGTGACAAAATATTGTGTGAGATGCTAGAAAATTGCAAATGTTTTTGTAAAATATTGATCCAATCATTGAGTTTATATATTATGATTTGCAACTGGTAAAAATAGGGTTGGGTGTTATTTAAAGGATGTCTTGTTGCAGCCAACTGAATGTGTTGAATAAGAATATAAGTACTTCAAATCTATCAATTTTTAACTGAGAATCGTAATTTGAATCCAGTGCATAAAAAATTTTATCTTAAGGCTAATTTGTTGGTCTGTTGGGAAAAGCAAAATTAAGTCTGGTTTAATTTGAATACAGTGCATAAAAATTTTTATCTTAAGACTAATTTGTTGGTTTGTTGGGAAAAGCAAAATTAAGCCTAGCTAACTAATCAACAAGTTTGGGCAAAGAGGGTACAGGGATTTGGATCCTCTTAAAAGCTGTCCCCTCAACTTCCCTCAGCAGCAAGAAATTCCAACCACCCTACAATTTATATATAATGTCTTACATCTTACCATATCATCTCATATTAAAATAATTTAATTATAACAATAATTATTTCACAATTTATTTTATCACTTTAGATATATTTTCTATACTAATGAGTCAAAATGATTTTTTTTATTTTCAAAAATTTGATTTGAAAAATTACTCTACAAATTTTTCTTAAACATATATTTGTTAAATAAGTTAGTTAGAATTTGAATAAGCTATATTGTAGGTCCTTACAAGCTTCTAGGATTATTCAGATTCAGATTATTTGTAAGAATCTATCATCTAGTTTATTTCTAGCTTAACTTATTTTTTGAATAACCCAAATTATAGGTCCTCACAAGCTTTTAAAATTATTCAGACTATTTGTAGGGATCTATCATCTAGCTTATTCAAATTTTGGCTTAATTTATTTAATAAATACCTGTTTAAAAAAAATTTGCAGAGTAATTTTTTAAAACAAGTTTTAACTCATTAGTAAAAAAAATATCTCAAAAGTGATAAATTAAATTGTGAAATAATTATTTTTAAAATTAAATTATTTTAATATGGAATGATATGGAAAGATATGAAATATTATATATAAATTATAGGGTCAGGATTTCCTGCCGCGGACAGAACGGCTTTTGAGAGGATCCAAATTCGAGGTTACAAGGAGGTTACAAGGAGCAAGTGTTGAACCAGATGTCCCAAACAAGCAAACACAAGCTTTTATTTAACTGAGTTTTTTTTTTTTTTTGCCAGTATTTAACTGAGTTTGTAATAACAATCATCATTCAAGGCGATCAAGTTCCATTTTACCTTGCAGCATTATTAAAAGGAGGTTGAAGTGAGACTAAAAACAAATACAGGGGAGAAGGGTATTGATTCTTTCAGATGGGTTGGTTTGTTCAGGTAGCATTTATTTTGTAATTCAATTGCCAAGTGTGGAGTTTGAACCTTCATCATGAATACGGGATTCTGTTTAACCTTGATGATGACACGCGCACGCACAGCGGAGATAGAAATTGGTTGCTTGATCAAACAATATGAATGACTGATTTTTAACAAATGTTTAGACTAAAGAGGAAGAAATCAGCAGAAGCTGTTCTCCATGATCTTTACAAATTCCTTAAAATCTATTCTTCCATCTCCATTCTCATCGAAGTTCTGGATCATTTTTTGGCAGTTCTCTCGTTCTGCTGCTGCTCCGTTGATACCCAGAACACGCAGAACTCTCTGCAGCTCCGTTTCATCAATAAAGCCATCTCTGTTCTCATCAAACACATCAAAAGCTTGCTTCAGCTCCTCCAGGCTTGGCTCCTCTTCAAACACCTCAGAAACTTCACCGAAACTATATTTTTCCTCAAGTTCCTCACTTTCTGAGCTGCAAAAAAGCCCCAAATTTCCCATCACCATTTTCACTTCGTCCCTCCCAAGAGCCCCATCCTCTCTGCTTCCATGAATCAAACTCTCTCGCTGGTTCCCCACAGAATCTGAGACCCGTTTCTCTATTCTAACCTTTGAATTAAGTTGGGACAGAAGGAAAAGCCAAAATTTGGGAAAAAATCTCAGTATTTCGTTAAAAACTAAAACTGTACCTAGAAGAAAATGGTCTAACATGCCAAATAAGGGGTTGGAACTGGAGGTAACATCATTCTGAGATGTTTTTTCGTCTAATTGAATCATGCAATAAAGTTGGTCGGTAACCATCGCTACAGAAACTCTTCAAAGCGACGTTTGAGTTAAAATTGTCGGGTCCCTCTATAGGGGTGGAATTGTTATGTTGTTAGAAGACGAGAAGGGTATTGTATGATTTGCCGGAATGGATTGAAGAACCCAGGGAGGGTCAGTTGTATATATAAGGTATATGAACCTGGGATGATCCCAGAATTTGAAGTTTGAATCCATCAAGTAAAGGTCAGCTTTGAAAGGTAGAAGAAATTGCTCGAGAGAATGGGAGGAAACTTCCTCGCCGGCTCCAACGAGAATATGCTTAAATTTTATAAAAAACGAGGTCATTTGGAAGAAAAGTTGGGGGAGGATGACCTACTTTTCGGTGTCTGTTTGTGGTGGATGGAGTCATGGAGATTGTGTTTAGAATTTTCCCGAATGACTGAGAAAGGCGAAGTCAAAGAATGAATAAAAAGAAATGCAGTAGTTTCGTGGAAGGGAGTGAGAATATTTAAGCGTAGGTCAAAATTTCGCGTGAATATTTAATGGAAATATCACGTTCCACGTTACGCATTTTCCTTCAAGTGGCACAGTGGGGTTCCTCAACTAATAGAAGAGTGAAATTATGTTAATCTTATCAAATGAGCCCCATACACTAACGCCGTATATGCGCCAAAGAATCTTCGCTCTCCGCCTTTGATTTCTCATGTCCAAGATCGGACCTGTCAACGCGGCCAGCCGAATCCTGAATCCTCAACACGATATTAGGACGGCCATTGGAACTAGAGGAGAAATTGCTCCTCGATGCTGTCGTCACCCATTGTATCAATTTTAAATTCTTCTTTTTTTTTAAATATAAAATATTTTTAATTAAATCTCACAATAATAAAATAATTATTTATTTTTAAATTTATTTTATATTTTTATATTTTTTTATAAAACGTTTCATCTTAAAATAAATATAAAATAATTCATTCAATAAAAATATTTTAAAAAAATTAATAATTACATTTTTTAAAAAAAATATTTTATATTTATTAATATTTAATTTTTTTAAAAAATATCTTACATAGAAAACACATTTATAATTATGTAAACAAACTTTTCTATCTAATAGCTTTTATCGGAATTAAAAAATAATTAATTTTAACTAGTATTTTTAATTTATGTAAAACTATTAATATGCATTTATAAAAATAATCGATACTCTGACAAAACAAAAGCATTATTTTGTTTTGCGGCCCATCAAAATAGCTTTGTTCATACGGAAACATCATCGGCCGAAAAAATTGAAATATAGTCAATATGATCATCACAGTTTAACAAACAGTCCATGAGACTTGTCAGACCTGTAAATAATTACATCTTATTTTATTGAATAATTAATAATTAATAAAAATATTTAAAATAAATTAAATATTATATTTATTATATTGAATATACAACTGTAAATTTATATATTTATAAATTTATAAATTTTTGCCAAAAAAATATAACTATAAAGATATAATTTTTTTTTAAAATTAAAATAATAATTAATTTTTCATAAATATAAATTAATTAATAATAATTTATATAAAAAAAGGGAAACAAATAAATTATAAATTCATTGGATGGGTGACGTGACCTCTGGGCAGTGGAAAGGAATTTGCAAGGCATTGAATGTTGGGCTCTGCATCGTTGACGCGACGCTCAATTTATTATTCCATCCCGTGGGCCTTGGGAAACCCCAAAAACTCAAAACAAGTTAAAAAATAATTCTCAGTATTCCAAAGTCTAGTTAAAAAGATTGGGCTTTTTATTTTTTCAAGTTTACAGCGACCCCATCTTAAAAATACATAAAATGTTAAATAGTGGTTGACTGAAGTTTAAGAAATAATCTACCAATACAAGTACTTGATTTAATTGGCAAAAGAATTATTTCAATTTAACTAGAAGCTTTGAATTTGAATTTTAGAAATATAACCATATTTCCCAAATTGGCTCAATTTGAATTAATTGAAACTACTAATTTTGAGCTGCAGATGATTTAGCGCCAACAAATTTTAAGAGACAATCTATACATAAAATGGAATGAGGTAGGGTAAGCTTTGGGTTACTGTACATGAAGAGACCTTTGTTCGGAAGCTGCATAAGAGGAGAGAAAATGATACCTTGGAGATCAAAAGTAAGATCCCATTCTCAGCCGATGCTTGTTAATTAAAGAAGGGAAAATTGCAAGCAGACAAAAATGGGTTAGGAAGAGAGAAAATTGTAGTTGGGCTCATAAAGAATGAGAGTTAAATGTAAATTGAATTGACCATGTCCTTTGCATTGAAATGAAAGACACCATTTGTATCTTTAAGAATTAAGAGGATGTTCTTTTGATTGAGTCACACTACTGCCTGGAATAATTTATTCCTGACAGAGTCATATTATCTCAAAAAAAATTTATCCATAATCTATTGATGCAGCGCAGTCACCTTGTCTAAAATAGGGGGCTTCTTCTTCCTCTTCTTCTTTCCGAGTAAGAGACACAACTTATTCAAAACGTTAAAAGTCCATATAAACGACGGCCCAATCCAAAATAGGGGGATGCTTTCATGTGTATGCATTGTATGTAATTTGGAGAGACTTGAGGCTATACGAATACGCATAAATTTCAAACTTTAATGTGAAGTAGAGTTATGATGAATAGAGTGTAAGGGGAGAAAGGCACACATGTTATAATTCTCTACTAATTAGATCTAAAACTTGAAATTATTATTGGTGTAATACACATCAAAATACTAAAAATTGAGTAGGTCACTAAATTGATCAAAACATTGATTTAATGGTCAATAGTTAAAATTATAGATGAATCGTGATCAAATCAATCATAAACAAATCATTTATTAAATTGGTCAAGACACTAATTTAACAGTTTACTGGTTCAATTCGGAGGGTTGATTTGGATTTTCATACTATAATACACATAATGCCTAGTTTCTCCTATTCAAATTATAAGATACTTTCAAGTTTCAATTATATTTTACATACTAATAAAAATAGTTATTTCCTTAATTTCTTGCAAGAAAATTACATCTCCCTTCCTCTCTTATCGCTTTTAGCTCTTTTCTTCCTCCTTCTTTCTCATCGTTCACACTTTGACCCTATTCACCTATTCTTCATCTTCCTCCTCTCTGGCTAGTCATTGTTCCTTCTCTGATGGGAGATTTTTGACACTCTCTTGTGCCTGATGCTTGTCTATGAAGATTTTTGGATCGAGGAAGCTACCTTCACCCTGGTGAAGCTTTAGGCCACTGTTATATGTGGCTCAACAGCAAAAACCTTTGTTAGAAGGATTGGAATGACATGGCTAATGTTGTTAATGCTCTTTATGGTCATACCATGAAGACACATCGACCATTTTTATTTTCTATAATTGTTTTAATTTTCATATTTTTTTCAGATCCATTTTCTCCTTCTTTAATTAGACTTATATGCTCACTACTCATCACTGTCTCCTCTCATCTTGCCTCCTCTATCCTTCTCTTCATTTAAAAAAATCTAATTGACACACACATTCAAATTAGAACCTCCATCATTAAGAAGTATAAGGTTGAGAAGAATAGAGAGGTAGAACAGAAAGGAAAAAAAGAGTGAAAATGGCATGGCATGCAAAAATGGGATTGAGAGTTTAAGGCAAATTTTTTTATTTAAATTAAGGGTAATATAGTAATTTGATCAAAAAAATTAATGTCAAAAGAGTCCCTTAGGACTTCAGTGTAATTAGATTGTTTTGTAGGATTTATTTATCATGTGCTTTTTCAGCAGTCCTTATATGACATTCTCCCTAAATGGATTTGGTTTTGTCATGTCCTTTTATTACAACTAGGAGCAATATGTATTTATGGCACTAGTTATGAGTTATTTACTCATTTTGTTTAGTATGAAAGAAATAATGCCTTGTGAAAAGTTATATAAAGCTAGAAATATGAGTTAACTTGTAAGTTAGGAAAGAAATATTAATGGAGGTCCAAACCTTAGCTTGGATCTTGAAAGTTCATTTTGGAATGACATATCTTGTTTAGATAAAAAAAAATTAGAAGAGCTTTGGTTATAACACTTCATTCAAATGAAAGCTTGATTTTATGGGTTCTGTTTTCTCCACACCACAATTTAGAGCCTTTTCATCATCATTTGTGATGGACACCATGGCACGAATGACATGGCATTAATGACAAAGAAGTTTGAGGATATTAATCATAAGCATGGTAACTTGAAAGGAGTCTTAGGCAAGGAGTAAGGACCTAACACTTTCAATCCAACGTGCCTAAAAACCCTTTACAATATATTAGAGATCCAATGACAAGAGTCTGAATTAAAGCCATGAAGTAAGCCTTGTTTAGTCGTATGCAAGAAGTCCAAGAACTTGGAGAGCATTAGGGCACTCCTCTCAAGCCTAAAGGAGAGCGTCTATACATGTATAATATGCTTAAGATCCAAATCCATGAAGAGTGAAACCCAAGAGATGCAAACTCTAGCCCAATGTAAGGAAAACTACAAGTGGAGCCTCCTGCAAGCAAAGAGGCATGAAACCCTAGTGAAGAAGTTAAGGGTGGCGTGATTTTGAATCCTTTATGATCCCTTAATTGTCTCCTTAATTGTTTTTTATTTTAGTGATCCATTGACTTGACTCCCTTTTTTTAAGGAGCAAGACTAGTCTTAGTTTCTTATTTTTAGTCTAGTCAAAGATTATGGTTAATTATATTATTAATTTCTAATTTTTGTAATCCGATAATTTTAGGATCACATCTTTTAAATTATGTGGCTGAATATTTTCTCCTTTATTTATATTATTTTCTTTCTCCTTTTAGTATTAAGAAATAGTTTTCTGTATAAGCCTATGTAGATTAGACATGCTCCCTCTTGTAAAAAGAAGAGAAGTTAAATGAAATTATTCATTTTAGAGTTTATAACTCTTGTGAGCCTTAGTGTTTTGTGGTGGCATCCCGTGTGAGAAGCAGACATGATGAAGAGCGTGATCAACTCTTGTGGTGTCTTCGAAGGTTGAGGTTCCTCGAGACAGGTGCTCTATAGGATCTTATCCTTGATCATTATCTCATTATTTATTTTATTTTTTCTTTATTTTCATCATAAATTTCGTCCCTTTCTTTTTTTCCTTGTGTTTTTATTGTATTTCAGGATTCTGTCCTTAAACTAGCATGATTCTGCTTCCGTGTCCCCTATCAAATTGGTATCAGAGCTTTAGTTGCTAGTTTGCTAGTCCTGGTTCGAATTCTTATCCTTTTTTCATCTTCTTCTTCATTATTTGTCAATTTCATCTTTTTCTTTATCTTGAGTTATTTCTTTTTGTGATAATCTCTTATCTACCTTATCTACTTCTATTTTTTAGTTTTTCTCTTCTTATCTTTGTGACTTTTTA